ACCCAAGGCTCTAATGGTTTGACAACACTTCAATCTTGTGAAAACTGAAATTCCTAAAACAAATACCATCTAAGGTCAAATTCTGAACATTTTTAAAGCTAAATTTCTTGATCATCACTTTTTCTTTGTTTGTATTTTTTGAAGTTTTGTCTCTTCGTCATGGTAGATAATTAACACAAATGTTTCCTTTAATCATGACCTTACTTGAATCATTTAAAAAAAATTACAAATCATATAATAAATACTCTTGAGTTATGAGTCATCCATCTGAGAAGGTCGTTCTTTGCTGTTCTATGGCTGACTTAGTGCAGACAGATTGGAGAGATCTCGTTATATGTTAATTGTATAAATATAGCAAAGCCATGTAAAATACAGCTAATCCCAAGAAGAAATTTACATGGAACTAAAATTGTCACTCAAATGATGGTGAAATGTTCCTCCTGTATACAGACACGCAAAGACGTTAGATGGGACAGTGCAATATACTGCACATCACTGAGCAAAAAACATAAATTCCAAAGATAATGTTCCTTGCAGAGCACGTGATGCCATACAACAGTTCATACGGACCTCCCATGACTGGTGGAGGAGTATGTGATTGACAGGTGAACAGTCTTGGCCAGATTTTACTACTTACACACCGCAATCATAACAATCTTTACTATGGGATTGAATGGCAGTAATAGACTATGTGTATAAACTTGCCGCAGTGAGGACAGCTTGACAAATAATAAATTTGGCCTTTGGCTTTAACAATTTACCCTGAAATTTGGCAATACGACACACTTAACACTTAAATTAACACTTGTATTTAAATCATAACTAATCTATTTACCCATGCTCTCCTTTTCCATGTCAGCTCCAGCAGAGACAGAGAGGGAGAGAGACACAAGAGATCATTGTATGGCTGACATTAAATAGATCAATACACTCTTGAAGTAACAGGTAGGTCAATCAAAGAGGGATAGTTGTTGTTAATGAAGGAACTGACAGTTACCAAAATGTGAAAAGTGGAATGGTCAGAATGATACAAATATTAGATACAGTATTATAATTAATACAATTAACCTTCTGACACTCAAGAGAGCTGAGCAGTTATTATTTACCAAAAGGGTAAATGGCTTGTGGTAGTTCCTATCTTGGTTTGGATTAATAGTGTATAGTACGTGGTCTATCAGACAGGTTGTATACACCTTCAGTGGACACAGACAAGGAGATTTCAAGTTGATTTTCCCCAGCTGCAGTGACATACTCGCTCTCACAGACCAAGACAGATTATGTATTTACTTTCTTTCTCTGAAGCAGAAAGGATGTGGCAATTGAGATGGGGGAGGGGAATCTAGTGAAAAGAGGAAATCGAAGACATAGAAGCTAACATATCCTCACAAAACAGTGGTCCTTTAATCCTCAAAGGGTTACATTTTAACATGCAGGATTCGATGACAGAGCAGCTCAGCTCAGTAGAGCCAAGTTGTGATAAGGAACATATTGCATTGGGTTTGCCCAGACACAGTAAGCTCTTGATCTCAATTAGGCAGCTACCCGCAGGGAGGAAGTGAAAGGGAAATCAGTGGGTGGGTCAACCCTTACTTGTGGCAGGATGACTACATGCTGTTCTCTTAGTTGAGGAGTAGAATAGTTCATGAAATGAAGAGAAAAAGACCAAAAGTTATTAGAAACAATAAGTTTCTCAATGGAAAATACAATTAATAAATCAATTCACCTTACTTAGGAAGGGCCCTGATGTTGAGGGGGGTACTATTACAATTAGTTATATTCACCATGACGCACGCTATATATCCCTCCAAAAATTTAATAATAATAATCCTTGCATTTGATATAGCACCTTATCACGTTGTTGAGACGTCTCAAAGCCCTTCACAGAATATATTGTAAGATTGTGTATTTTGTGGACAAAACACAAAATGTAGTGTTGTGCTTGATGAGGAACAAAGCTGCTAATCCAACCAACATTAATGGCAAGTGCTAGGGAAACACCTTGTGGGAGAACTTTGAAGTTGCATGACATTTTTTTGATTCCTGATTTCCAAGTACAAAATCTTCCTACACTTTGCACTTAAGCATCAGAATTCACTTAATAATAATAATCCTCACATTTGAAAAAGGGCCTTATCGCGTCTTTGAGACTTCTCAAAGCCCTTCACAGCATATACTGTGAAGTGTTGACCGTATATATTTCACAGAATCCAAGAGACTCAGATTGAGAAGGCTCTTCATCCTATTTGATCAAATACTTCTAGATAACTTTCAATTTCTTCTGATTTCTCAAAACAGATAAAGGATGATTTGTTGAAATACTGTAGATATTATTTGCAAACCTAAATAACAACCACAAGAGGGCCCTTTGACATCAGGTTAATTCACAGAGACAATTTTATTCAATGAAACCAGAAGGTTCTTAAAGGAAAGAATGTTTCTGTCTGAAGTTCAGCATCTATTTATTATAAAAGGATCAAAGTTAGAGTGCTTATATTTAAGGACAATTTCACAGCATCATGGTGCTTTTTCCATTTGTATTGTGGTTTACTTAAAAATGTGTATTAGGCACTCATTCAACTGCACTCTAACACTACCTGGTTTATCTCATCTCTGTTCTCTTCATCACAATGGGGTCATGTATTACGGGACTTGCTCTTCACTCAGTTTTCTCTATGTAAACAAATAATAGTTTTTTTAAATAAGAATAATTGATACTATTATAAATAATCTTAAGCTATCCAGCCAAGGAGTCTTGGCACAATATCAAACACAATTTTTAACCAAACATTGGTTAAAAATTGTGTTTGATATTGTGCCTTATCACATCAAATCATAAGAAGGCACTTCACAGAGTTTTACATAAAGTTTAGTGACTGTGTATTTTTAGGCAAATTATGTTAGTGGATTTTGATTGGATAATTGGCTTGTACCTATCTGGTGCTTGTAGTATAACACTATTTTTTATACTTTTTTTCAATATATTCTCTCTAGGCAGGGGGGAAAACGTTCTTGTCTATATTGAGAAATGCTCCCAGTATTTGTGAACTACTTTCTTCTGCAATAGGCTACACAAGTGATTCCTGTTACAGGGGAAAACCATCATATCCTACTAAACTGTTCAGTCAAGGTTGACAATCCATTGCAGTACTGGGGGAACCTTTTGGATGAGATGTTAAATTGATGTCTCATCTGCCTATGCAGGTGATGATTAAGGATCACCTGGCACTAAACAATCTTGTATTCAAAACATGAACATTCTTTCTTAAGCAGTGACACACATAAACCAGTATTATATGCCTTATTCAAGAATTTAGCCAAGTCAAAAACTCCTGACACTGAATTAAAAAAACACTTCAAAGAACACTTTTGTTTATTCAACCCGAAACATGTTTTCTTCACACCTCCCATTTGTTTTTTTTATTGGGAAGCAGTCAGACAGCTTTACTGAAGCAGATTGGCAGAAAACCTAACAAGTTGATATTGGTCCAGGTTGATACGAGTTACAACAGTCTGGAATGCCAGAGAATTGTTTCTTCTCTTTGAATCCTCAAACCATATGCCAGGTAGCTAAATCATTACCTGTGCATGAATCCCGCAATGCCAAATGGCTACCTCAGTAAAAATTATTGGAAACCGTTTAGCACATTCAAATATCATCTACTGTACTTTAGGCTGACTTACAATAGAAACTAAATTTGTCAAACAAATGAGTAACTATAAGCATAGAGGTGGTGAGGTTACAAACCAATGGCTGCAAAGTTATGTTAAAAAAAATGCATTGTCACATGATTCATATTGCATAATTTTTCAAATCACCTTCTTGCATTATGCAGTATGTTCCTGGCTGAGAGATCAGGATCGGGGAGTTGTGCCCATTCAATTTCCATCTGCTTTGTTACTCCCATTCCCTCTTCCCTCCCCACCCCCCCCACCCCACCCCACAACTGATTGGGAGTGTTCAGTTCTCATATTTTTATATGAGATCCTGGATGAAGTCCTGGATGAGGGCAAACTTCCTACAGTTGAATGTGAACAAAACTGAGGCCCTCCTGATTGACTCGCGCCAGCGCCTCAGCACCTCAGGCTCTGGCAGCATCAACCTCCATGGTTGCACACTTCAACTCACCGCCAGTCAGGAACCTCGGTGTCTTGTTCGACCCGCAACTATCTTTTCTTCCCCACATCCAAGCCATGACCCGCTCTGCCTTCCCTCACCTCCGTAACATCGCCCGACTCCGCCACTACCTCACCCCTCAGGCCGCTGAAACTCTTATTCATGCCTTCATCATTTCCAGGCTCGACTATGCAAACGCCCTGCGTGTCGGCCTTCCCAACTCCTCCCTCCACAGCTGCAGATAATCCAGAACTCTGCAGCCCGTGTCCTCTCCCGCACCAAACTCTGTGACCCCATCTCCCCCACTCCCGCCCGACTCCATTGGCTCTTTATCCTTCAGAGGATCCAGTTCAAAATCCTGGTCCTCACCTCAATGGTCTCGCCCCACCCTATCTCTATGATCTCCTAACTCCCTACCAACCCGCCTGCTCCCTCTGCTCAGCTGGCTCTGGCCTGCTCCACGTCCCCCAACCCACCCACCCCACCATTGGCAGGAGAGCCTTCTGCCCCCAACCTCTGGAACTCCATCCCCCAATCTGTCCGCCTCGCCTCCTCCTTAGCTTCCTTCAAGTCCCGCCTCAAAACCCTCCTCTTCGACCATGCCATTGGTCACCCCCTTCCCCTTCTCCCCCCTGACCCCAGCTCGGGTCTGAAATGCTGTACACTGTCCAGCGCCTTGGGACATCTTCCCGACGTGAAAGGCGCTATACAAATGTAATCTTGCTGTTGTTGTTTTGCTCCATAAAAAGCATTATTTGCACTGATATTCATTATAATTTTTAATTACAATTTTGTAGGAGTTCCTTATTTAGCCCTCTCCAGATTTAGGTTATAATAATACCTTTGTATAATAATAATCATCATCATCCTTGCATTTAAAGTACTTCACAGGATTTACTGTAACATTTAGCAATTGTGTATTTTATAGGCAAATGTGTCTGATTAGTGAAACATCAAGTACAGAGTTGATTTGATATACAAGGAGATAAATACCAGAAGCAACAAAACTATGATTGCAGACAGGTAACAACTGGGGATCTAACCATTTTGGAAACTGAATTAGTCCAGCCCTCTCAAAGATTATGAGCAATCTAGCATTGGTAGTGTGTAAGAATCTAAATGCATCTATTAAACTTCAATCAAACTGAAAACACAATTTTCCTCCCTTCCTCCCTTAATGAGATTAAAACATTAATAATGTTTATATATACTATATAATTAATTATGTTTTAACAAGGTTACGAAGCAGTAGAGATTCCATGGATCTGCTTAGCAATGATCTGTATCAAGCAATTTAAAGTCAGCATTATGGATTCCCAGGACCCCTTGCTTACAATGAACTATAATTTGCGACACGCTCAACTGACAGATTAGTCCATATCCTTGCTCAATTTACATATTAACAAGTACAAAGACAGAGACCTAATAAAATATTAAAAAGTGCTACCTTACACCAAGCTAAAATGGTTCTCAATATACAGCAGTTAGCTTTTGTCAAGCAGACAACGCCTGAGCTGTTACTGGTTACTCAGCAACAAACTCTTGCTGCCGTAAGTTATTGAGAGTTTCATTCAGTGAGCTTCAGCTGTGGTATCGAAGCTCAAGAGATTCCTCATGTCAATAAAGGTTGCAACAGGGCCAATGTGATTCACCTTCTCAAATCACCCATTTCCGTGGAATGACATTCTTTATGAAAATAGATATTAAATGGTTATGTGTAGAGAATTGAGCATCTTTAAACATATGTAGGTGGGCAGATATTATTTACACACACGTATTGGGGGAAAAGCGAGGTACTGTGTTGTTGATATATGATTAGTGCTTATACATCAGTAAAAGAGAAACTATTTTCAGGGGCACAATTCAGTCCAAAGGCTACATTGTAGGCTGAATGCCTAAACCTCCCTGGTCCTATTCCCATTTCAGGCCTGTGAGTTTGGCCGAGGGCCTTAGGCTAAACTGTTTGGTTCGAATCTAAGGCAATTCTCTTCCCCCTTTGTCCTGATCCCCTCGGTCTGATGTTTCCAGGGCATGATAATCCCATCTCTTCTTCCATAATGTAAAAGCTCAGAAATACTCCTCATCTTTTTGCATGTGGTCTACATCTGCAGCTAAAGCTAACCTGAGCTTTACTTCCCCCCCCATTCTAGCAAAGAGATGATCACATGTGTTTTACCTTTCTATGTATGGCTATAAAATGAGGGGGAATATTTTTCAATAGCAGGAGAGAGGTCTGCATGACGTGAGCCTTGGAACCCGTGTTGGGGATCTTGTGATATGGAGAGGATCTTGTGATCTTGGCCCCCAAGCCTGTTCAGTGGAAACAGTGAAAATAGCAAGATATAAAGGAAATAACTTATAAAGAGATTTTTTAAAACTTAAATAAAAGAAAGTAAATGTGCTCACCAAGGACATTGATATAGTTTCAATAAAGTAAATGAGAACCATGGAGCTTCTTTGGTCTCTCTGTTTCCCTTAATTCAGGTATTTAAATTCATTCTTAAACTAATCTTTCCTGCTTCATTCCCTACTTATCTAAAGTGAGATGTGGAGTCATAAGTTAGCAGCTTCAAACCAGCAGCTCATCTCATCTTAATTGCCTTTTGGTTAAAAGCTTCTCTCTGTTCCCTTGTCTCAGCCACACTTCCATCTAGAAGGTCAGTGGACAGTCTGATCCCAGCCTAACCTCTGTCACCTTTCCACCCGATGCGCTCTGTGTGTTGTGTGGTAGTGTTCAATTTATTGAGGATCCTGACACCATCCATGGTAGTAATTTTCCTTTCTTGTTGCTAGTTACTCAGCTCAATGTTGCCAAACAGCGTCCCCGGCACAGTGTCTGTAACTTGATTCTGAATGAGTTCACATGATTTTACAAAGTATAGCAAATAGTCAGCCTGTACAGAACAAGTAAACATATTCCTGGAGTGTAAACCTAACTGTTATATGGAACTCCCAGTTTAGGTGGATATTCTTTAGCACGGGGATGGGTTTCCACATGTACTGACTATATAAAAACGTATGTGCTATCAACAGGTATACTCGAGTGCATAGAAAAAGCTAGATTTACCATAAAGTTCAGTGATTGCGTATTGTACAGTCAAATGTGTCTGATTAGTGAAACTGCAAGTCCAAAATTGATTTGACATATAAATCATATAAAATACCTCAATACATTTTTGCCGGAAACCTATTTTTACAAGATTTTGTGGCATGACATGTCCTGTAAATTCCTTTATAATACAAAGGCAACTATTAATAATTTCTATAATTCGAACATTTTCATATTATACTACTCCCAGTCTATCACAGTATTGCAACATCTTGTCACCAACAACAAAAGACATCCACACAATTTCTCCTTTGGACCGTCACTTTCCCAATTTCTGCAGAGCTCTTACTTGTATAGTATACGTGAGTAAGAATTCTACAGAAATCGGGAATATGTTATTGCAAATGAGAGCTTATATGTGTCCTTTATTGATGTACAGAATGTAATGGGGTAGGTAGTTTACATTACAGGATAAAAGGAATTTATACTAAACACTTAAGTGGAACTTTAATTGCAGAAATTAGACAGAATTTTTGTTAAATACTGGAGTCCTATTTCACTCACCCTTAATTTGTAGAAAAGAATCCCTTGCGCTACTCTCGCTCCCTACAGGCTACAGTGTCATTCTACTGTTTGACAATTAGCATTGAAACTGTGCATAGTAGTGACGTGCTAAAAGGTAACAGTCCCAAAGACAAAACATTCTCCATTGTTTTCAACATGTGAGATTCAGTGATTTGAGAAGACATTGGTGAATCAGATCCCCCATTTAAAAACAGGAGAGCACAACTTTTCTGAGTTTATCAACACACATTCCATGCTGTGAGGCACCTCTTCGCTCTTTCCTTCAGTGAAACAGTGATCATTCTTCTCTGAGGGACATTTCATGGGGGGGAGAAATGAAGTACATATATTTTCAAGTTTCGACGATTTTTTAGCCCTGTCATATTCTTCTCAGGCACAAGGTGAGAACTTTCAGTTACTCTATTCCAAACATGCTTCATCATTTTATTTGTTTCAAGGACTATTACTCAAGAGGTCACTGTTGAGTCAGCTTGGTGCTAGGCAAGGCAGCCCATACTTATGAATTGTGCTTTTGTAGCTCAAACCTACTGTACAAATTCTTGGACTTCATCTTAATATTATATTCCTTCAGCATTTCCAGTTTGCTGTGTCCCAGGGTCATTCGGTTTGCCTTTCTCGACATCCCTTGAGATGGTCCCTCTAAACCTTTGCTGTCGTCGGAAACCTCGTCACTTTTCTGCACAATTGCATTGCTTTTTTCATTCCACACTGATAGGTAATTTGTTGTTGTTGTTGCTGGTGTCGGTGATAGTGGTGGTGGTGGTGGTCCCCAGGGAGTTCTGGAGGAGCTGACAACATTCCCCCTCTGATTAGGTTGGGTTGGATAATGGATGATTAGGCTGGGTTTCAGGTCATACAAGCCTGGCCTAACTGGTGTCCCATTAGGTTTATAGTCCTGGTTCCCTGTGAATTTCCATTCAAAGGTATGAGGAGTCTGAATGGACGCCCTTGGGCTGGTTTGCTTACGCTCCTGCAGTACTTTACCAGCTGGAGTGCTCGGATATGGCGACTTTTTGATGCTGCCATGACTGTCGCCGGACAGGGTGCTGGAAGGGTTTGAGTGGGCTGCCTCAGGCACCCCCTTCTGTTTGAGGGATTTCTTATCCTCTCTTCTCCTGAATGAATAATGACCGTGATCCTCATCTGAGTTGATGAAATGGTCGATTGGTTTTGATTCTGCGTAAAGACATCGAAACTCTTCATCGAATTCCTGCACTATTTCCCCCATACTCAGGGTTACAAAGTTGAGATGCACTTGTCCTGAGAGCCAGGTGAAGCTAATACAAAGAGAAAATGAAAAGACCTCATAGGTTATTCTCACACAGATTCCTTCAATTTATTTTTTCCCGTTCGTCTTACTGAGCCAAAAACCTGTAACGAAGAACACTTATATAATAATAATAATCCTTGCATTTGATATAACACCTTATCATGTCTTCGAGACATCTCAAAGTGCTTCCCACTTATCTAACAACTATAATCTATTGAGCTGAACCAGAAAAATTGTGAGAACAAATTATGCCACTCGTAGCAGCCAGGCTCCACTTGGCATCTCTTCCCCATTCTGGGGCCAAGACTGCAGCAGCACAGCCACTGATGCTCTAATACACTCTGGCAATCCACTGCTAGTAAATAAATAAATTTTCTTGTAGTTGCTACTATTACTAAAATGGTGTAACTGAGGAGGCCAACGAGGAGTGTATTCGAGAAATCAAGGTGGGAGGTGACAAAAGTGTGGACAAGGATTTTGACAGTATTTGGTGTGAGGTAGGAACTGAGGCGGGAGATATAGCAGATCTCTTGTGGTTAGGCTCCCCATCGAACAGGTAACTGTATTGGACACCAGCACCTGAAATAATTCCTGTGTGTTGTAAGAAAAGAATGGCTTTAATTGTTCTATTGCAAACGGTGCTGCCTATTTCTGAGCCATTAATTTGACTGTGGAACACCATTGTGGATGTGGTTAACAGCATGCCTTACATATCGATTTCCCAATCTGAGATGATCCGGCGCTGATCGTAGCTGTGTTTCCATTGAGTGGCACCTGGTATGGCAAGTCATTTTGGAGGAAAAATGAACTTATTGTGTGTTAGAGAAAGAGAATGTAAGCTCCAGGTCAATTATCATAAACCTCTCAGAACCCGACTGTATGGAATTTCTTTCCAGACTTAGTACAGTTTGTGTCACCCTGCGCACTAGCCCTGGAGAAAACATGGAAATCAGGCTAAACGCAATCAAAAATTGTGACCGTTTATATTTATATTTTAATATTTGTATACTAGGTTTAATAGGTTGGGATTAATAATATTCCTTGCATTTGATATAACGCTTTATCACGTCTTCGAGGCGTCTCAAAGCGCTTCACAGAATACACTGCAAACGATTTGACTGTATATTTTGTGGGTGAAACGCAGCAGCCAATTGCACACAAGCAGTCGTGGATTGAATGACCAACTTATTTTTTTTAAACATAAATAAGTCAAACCAGATAGTGCGGTTTTTCTACTCTGGAGCAGAATTTCTCTGGTTGGATTGTAATGTTGGGCATACTTAGGGAGTGGCAATGTGTTAATGATTTGACTAGAACGGAAATGTGTGCTGTTATGTTGCTCTGCAGGCATGCTTAAAAACATACTGTACATCATCACACTACCCTCCTCTGATCCACACCGCACTCTCACCCTTACCTGTAGGAGCCTGCCACCACCTGCTCCTGGTCAATTAACATAAACCTCTCCAAGACCTGGCCATAGAATTTCTTTCCAGATTTCGTACAGTACATGTCACCCTGCACACTGCGGATCCTGATGTTCTGTGAAGGACAAGAGATTACATTTGGTCTGTGCGTTGGACCCCAAGAGTGGATTAGGGCTGCTGGCCTCAACATGCACCAGACCTGTTGCTGGAGTGAATGTACTCTCAGTCTCCAGGCCTCAGTGACTGGAAGGCATCAATTTAAGATCATTTGAGATACTGGAACAAAGGAGTAAATTAGGGATTAATTTTAAGCACACAAAGCATCGTTAGGATGGTGAGGTGGTTGAGATAGGATCCGTATTGGCTTTTGAGTTTTGCAAGCGTACAGTGAAAAGACAGAACTGAATGGATTAATCTGAATGGACTGAATGGCCGCTTTCTGTGCTGTAAATATTGTTAGTTCCTCAGCTCTGGGTGTCATAGAGTCATAGATTTATACAGCAGAAGGAGGCCATTCAGCCCATCGTGTCTGTGCCGGCTCTTTTAAAAGAGCTATCCAATCAACTCCACTCCCCCGCGCTCTCCCCATAGACCTGCAAACTTGTCCTCCCCAAATAATTATCTTACTTCTCTCTCTTGTTATCAAATCGTCTTCCAACACCCTTTCAGGCAATGCATTCCAGATCCGAACAACTCCCTGAGTGAAAGCATTTATCCTCATCTCCCCTCTGTTTCTTTTAACAATTATTTGAAATCAGTTCAGCACCGCAGCCTCAACCAGATTGTACCTATACACTAGACATGAGATTGTGGCCAATTTCAATTCAGTATTACAACAACAACGTCCTCCCGACGTGAAAAGCGCTATATCAAATGCAAGGAATATTATTATTATTATTATTAACAACAAAAACAGTATTAATTTGACTTCAAGGGTGTAGATCACAGCATCACAAGAACAGTCAGGATGAAGGAGGCATATTTAATTTCATCCTTCCATTTACCCATCAGCTACAGCATCTGTTTCTGAAAGAGGCCCAGGTTTCTTGTCCTCTAGTATTTATGAGAACATCCTTCAGCTTTAAGAACAATTCAATGATATTATAAACTTAAAAATGTATGAATTTCTGAGTGCTGCACACCAGAAACTTCCAAAATCCAAACAAATTATTCCCCGACTAAAGGCATGCAGTCATACACCCAGGTGTTGTGTATTGCGTGAGCTGAGGCAGCAAGTGTTGTCAATCTTTAAGGGCATCACAGCCCAACCTGATTTTGTCCTAATCCGTTACCAATGGAAGGGAAGAGGAGAGGGAAGGCGTCATTGGATCACAATCAGGAAAATAAGCCGTTGGTGACATATTCTCCTCCCTAGCCTGGAGGACTTTGAATCCAAAGGTTTGGAAATCAGCAGCTATGACGTATAATTCTCTAATTCCCATTGAAAGGAATGAACAACAGTGGGATTGATATTGTTGATTTATAAAATAAAATTTGAAAAAGGAGCGGCTGCCTTTAACCTTTCCCTGGCCACAGGTACTTTGCTCTGCTTTTAAACCGGAAAAATTAGTCACTGTACAAGTTGAACAAATTTGTTCCTGTTATGGTGTTAATTGGAAAGTCAATGGATTCTGTGTAACATTGCCTGGGAGTAAATGACAGTGCCTGGAGTCAAACTGAAGCAAATCTGTAGCTTCAAATATCTCTCCACTCCTAAAGCACACAAACGAATGCAAAGACCAAGTAGGAACAAAAAACTACGTCTTTAGGTCTACACCTAAATGTTCTAGTTGAAAATGTGGGGGTACATGAGTAAGTTCAATATTGTCTCAACATTAAATAGTACAGTAAACTAGTCCAGCAAGCTAAATACACAAACGGTCACTTGTGTTGACTTTAGGGACTGGTTTGTTAGGTTTACATGCTTTACACAGAGATTACAGCACAGAAGGTGACTATTCAGTCAATCATGCCTCTGCTAGAGCTAGTTCCTCTACTAGAGCCAGTAAATGAAAGTTAAACCTTGCTTTTGCTGTAGCGAGTTTCACATCAGCAGGAAGTCTCAAGGCGCTTCACAAGATTTACTGTAAGGAAGTAACTGTATGCTGTAGGTGCCCTAACTACTGTGATTTGCTGCTAGAGGGCCCAAGGACCCAGAACCTCACAAGGGCAGAAGGTTTGAATTGCACACATCTACAGACAACCACATATCACAGCATTACTCAGAACTAGTGTCAGCCTGGCTCAGGTGGTAGCATTTTTGCCTGTGAATCAGAAGTTTGCGGGTTCAAGCGCTAATTCAGGACTTTGAACTCATAAAGTTAGTCTGGCACTCCAGTGTAGAGCTGGGGCACACTACATTGCCAAAGGTGCTGTCCTTTGAAATATCAAACCGAGATCTGCCTGTTCAGGTGGAAGTTAAAAATAACCCATTTGGAAAGAGAAGGGAGATTTTTCTGGTGTCCTGGCCAATGATTCTCAGATAAAATCTTTTATTTATTTCATAGCTGTTTGTTGGACATTGCATTGTGCCATGATGCCTACAACACACAGTTGCTACACTTACAGGAAATCCTGTGGAAGCATCTCGAGGTGTCCTCCTGACGTGAAACAATAAGGGAGGCGGAGAGACTGTGGGATGGAGTTCCAGAGGGTGGGGGCAGAGTGGCTGAAGGCCCGCCCCCACAATGGTGGGGCGGGCGAGACAGGGGAGGTGAAGCAGGCTGGAGCCCGCTGAGTGGAGGGAGCGAGCAGGTTGGTAGAGGGCTAGAAGGTCATGGAGGTAGTGGGGAGCAAAGCCATGGAGGGTTTTGAAGATGAGGACCAGGATCTTGAACTGTATCCTCTCAGTGACAGGAAGCCAGCGGAGTCAGGTGAGGTTGAGGGTGATAGGGTCGCAGAGCCTGGTGCGGGAGAGGACACAGGCTGCAGAGTTCTGGATGATCTGTAGCCTGTGGAGGGAAGAGTTGGGGAAGCCGACAAGCAGGGAGCTTGCTTAGTCGAGCCTGGATGTTATGAAATCGTGCATGAGGGTCTCAGCGGCCTGTGATGTCAGACAGTGACAATGCCGGGCGATGTTACGGAGGTGGGGAAAGGCGGAGCGGGTCATGGCATGGATGTGGGGGGTGAAAAACAGTTGAGGGTTGAACAGAACGCCGAGGTTCCGTATTTGCTCTGTGAGATGTAGAGTGCATTCATAGAGGGAGATGCTGTCAGTGCCCAAGGTATGGAGGTGCTTTCTGATGGGAGCCGAGCGGAGGGCCTTGGTCTTGTTGACATTCAACTGCAGGATATTAGCTCTCATCCAGGACTTGATGTCCGACAGACACTGCATCAAATGCAGTGATTTTTATAATATAATAATAATAATCCTCGCATTTGATATAGCGCTTTTCACGTCTTCTTGACGTCTCAAAGCGCTTCACAGAATATACTGTAAAGTGAATTGACTGTATATTTGTGGGCGAACGCGGCAGCCAATTGCGCACAGCAATGTCCCACAAACAGTCGTAGATTGAAAATGACCAATTTATTATTGTTTTTGGTTTTGGAGGGATTATTATTAGGCTCTGTGTGGAGTAAGGAAACTTACTGTTTCGCCCTGCCTTATCAATAATAAATACAGCTCCTACGGAAACACTCTGTTCACCTTTCGCTGGGGAATCAGTGGGGCAAACAAGTGAAAACAACTTGTATTTATTTAGCGCCCCTCACGTGGGGTAGTGTCCCGGAGTGCTTGACAGTAGCGGAGTCTGACTCCAAGGCAGGGGGAGAGAGAGGTGGGAGGGAACCATAAGCACAATCAAATAAGGTCTTTATGCGGGAATCGAAAGTGGGGAGGAGGGGTAAGGCGGGGGATTGAGGGAAAAAGTTCTAGAATTTCGGGGCATAGTGGCTGAACGCATGGCCATTGATGGTGGAACGGAGAAGACGAAGGACGAACAGGAGGCTGGAGTCAGTCGAGCGGGGGCAGCGGGTGGGGGAGTGGGGACCAAGAAAATCGGATAGACAGGGAGGTGCGAGGCATGAAAGGATTTAAAAACAAGTGAGAGGATCTTGAAATCGAAACGTTTAGTAATTGGGAGTCAGTGGAACCCGGCAAGGCCGGGAGTGTTGGGGCTACGGAGTTTTGTGAGGGTGAGAATCTGAGCAGTGGAGTTCTGAATTAACTGAATTTTGTGTATGGTGGAACTGGGGAGACCAGTGAGGAGGGCGTTGGAATAGTCCAGCTGAGAAGTGGCGATGGCGTGCACGAGGGTTTCAACTGCTTTTATTGTGAGGTAAGGATGGAGGCAGGCAATGTGACGGAGGTGGGAAAAGCGAGTCCTGGTCAGGGATCGGATGTGGGGAAGAAAGGAAAGCTGGGGGATGGAACCTGATGCCTAAATTGCGCATGGGTTCGGAGAGTCTGGGGGAGAGTCCGGGGAGGTTGATGAGTTCAGACCCGCAGGAAAGACGACGTTGACAGGAGCCAAAGAATATGGCTTCTGTCTTGTCGACATTCAGCTGCAGGAAATTAGTGCTCATCCAGGTTTTGATGTCCGTCAAACAATCTGATAGGATATAGCGAACTGGGAGTCACAGCTGGAGGAGGAGAAGTAGGTTTGTGTTTCATCTGCATACATGTGGAAGTTGACTCCATGTCTGCAGATGACATCGCAGAGTGTAGATAAGCAGACCAAGGACGGAGCCTCGGGGTACCCGCAGGTGACCGGGTGGGGGCTGGAGGAAAAAACATTTGCTGAGATGTATTGGCAGTTGTTTAAGTAGGATTTGAACCATGTGAGTGCGGTCCAATTCAGGTGGATGAGGGAATAGAGGCCTGTCATGGAACTTGGTATTTTGGACCCAATGCTTCAGTGATTAAGAGTCGAGGCTGAGTCGGGAGGACAAAACCAGTTTCTATTAACAAATTTAAAATGCGCACTTCTCAAAATAAATCTTTATATATTTAATGGACACAAGTATATACACACCTCAAAACCTTAAACTAAGTCGGAGTCGTAATACATACACTTACGGTTTGAGCAGAGGAGCTAGTTGACCCACTTGTTGTTACAAATCCCTCCAAGGTGCAACTCTCCTGCGTGCTCCAACACCGAGTGCCTGTCCTCTCACACTCACACAATGCACATTCTTACAAACCACGAGTTTGCAAATCAGGCCACTTTCAGACAATTCCTGCTACCTGTGGGCTGCAAAATGACCGAAACAATACTATGCAAACACGAAGACAAAGAGCAACAGTAAAGCTGTAAGTGCAATTCCAGATCACACCACAGCTGTGTGCAACTCGCCTGTGAATATATTTAAAAAAACACTAAATTACATGTACAATAGAGGGTGGGGAGGGGGGTGGACGTCATGACTCACGAGGCAAGAAAAGGAGGTAAACTGTGAACACGAATCTGGTATGAAGATTAACCTTAACAGGTTAATTAACAGATGAATTAATTAATTAAGATCAACAGGTTAACCTTCACCCAACACACAGAATGATTCTGTAGCAGTAATGGTTTTACGAAAGCCTTTCACCCGTTTGCTTAAACGTGAAAAAAAATTCATGAACTGAACTAAAATCTAATTCCCCTCCCCGCCCTCCCATCTAAAATGTACTGCATTTAAGTGCAATCGCATGGTTTAGAAGTTGCTCTGTTAAACAGAGATCTTTGGAAAAATCATTGAAGTGGGAGCAAAGAGATTTTCAATCTGTTTATAGTCAGCAGCAGTGGATTAATCGTGACAGCATCTGATGGAGCCTCTGACACAGTGAACCTGTCGTGCCTTTTTGTTAAGATCGTAGCAGATTACCCTCCTTTCTCCATATCCCTCCTTTCTCCCCAATTATCATCTGACAACATACAAAGGAAGTCCTTTCAAATGAAGCTGACAAGAGGTTTATTTGCGTTTGGCAATACGCCCAAAGTATCACAGTGGTTGGGGTCAAACATGTCTTCACATACACGCACAGGTATTATTACACTGGATAATAACACTGGAAGAGAAGTGTCACTCTACTTCCATCTGTTGGCCAGATTGCACATCACAACATTACAATTTAAAACACAGCCGGAGTCAGATCCGCACTGGTCCCAGCTTCACAATTATGTTTTTGCGGCCCTGAACCCACTGGAATTATCAATTCTTCCGAAAGAAAAAATGTTGCATCTTCAAAAAAAATCCAAAGTCATTAACCTGCAGAGTGTGAGTGGGGGGGAGCGCCACTCAAACTGAGTTGCCAATAACTGAACTAAATAATTGGGGGGGGGGGGACATCTGAAACACTAACATCTTTATTGTTCTGAGGCTTATTGATCTATTCTGCATTTAACAACATTTGTTGGCGTTATTCAATTTCTTTCAGATTCTCAGAGTTTGCAGTTTTTCATTACATCTCTGTCTAGAACTCAGTCAGTGCCAACTTCCAGCAACCGATCCCACAGTGAGACTCTGCAGAGAGATCTCAATGTCTGGGGTACAGTGGCCAACTGTGCCTCATAGGATCTAATCCACATCAAAACAGCCTTTGTTCAGGTCCCATTTGAAGGAGGCACCAATACTCACAAGCCAATGACTGGGCACGTTCAGTTCTGAGTATAAAATCTTTGTCCTTAGTCAGAGGATAAAATGTCACATAATATGGGCTCAGCATTCACATTGTGCGTTTCCTGTTTACCCCTCAGACTCTGACCTTGTGGAGTAGCAATAGCAACAAAAGATGCTCTCAATATGCAAAACTATTGCCTCAGATTTTATTATTATTCGTGTGAATCTCGATCTTAGAACATTACACGGAGACAGATAACTCGGGCAAACCTGACTCCCACAAATATTACCACCATTCAAATCCAACAGTCCATTGTCAGGTGAAGAGTGTTATAAATGTTATAAAACGTTTAATTAGTTTTACCCTCAGCCGTGGGTATAATAAAATTGGTAATTACAATTTCCAATATTAGTAAAATTGAAATTATAATTTTAAAAAAATTACGCATTTGCATTCTCAGCTTCTCATAACCAAAATACTGAAGAATAGCTCGGTCTTACTGAACCTACAGCATAGGTTTGATTTGAAGGAATTCTGCAATATATAGATCTTGTTTAACATGTTTTATGGGACGAAACTGGACTATCTGTACTGAAACCTTTATTAACTGCATTGTGAAGTCAGAGAGCAATCAGACACACCCTAAAGACAACACACTAAGACAGAGTATAAGTCACAAGAATGAGGGTGGGATTTCGATCGATGGTGATTCAGCAATCTAACCGAGTACTACACATTCCATTACTACCCAGCGAGTAATACGATTGAATTCTGCTGTTGGCATTGCTCCATTGTTGAGGCTCAGGTTGTTGGGTACCTGGCTACTCGAATGGCTTAGCTTGATGTTTTGTGGCGATGATCACACTTGAGGATTGTATCATCACTCCTACAACACACACGGATCATTGTTTAGTGATGTGAGTCTTCAAATAGGATGGAAGACTTTGATTGGACCTGAGTTGGGTAAGGGACTGATGAGTGATGGTGGAATAAAACATGTTGTCTCCAACAGGATGGGTCACTTCCAGCTTCTTGCTCCCTCTCCCCCCAATCAAACACCATGTGCCAAACACCTCTGGCACAAGTTTGAGCATCAAAGCCAAGGGAGAACTGGAAACTGTGGGCAAATTGTTTGTGACTAAGCCACCGGGGTAATGTCTCTACTTCCATTCACCTGTGAAGGAACCTCTTAGTTACAACAGTGTGTGTGCTGGGCATGGCTAAGCCAGGCTCCAGATCACTCCTAATAAAGTGGGAAGGAGGAGAAGCAAATATCTTTCAGATTCCCTCATCAGCACCCAGAGCTGACCAAGTGTCTCACCCACAGAAAGAACCTATAATAACCCGAATACAGAACATAAACAGAAATACAGAGAAATTAGTCTTTACATGTAAACGGTGTAAACGGGCTCAGAAAGCAAGGGCCTGAACCAGAGGGTTTCTCTGCTGTGTGTGGGAGTGCGAGAGGAAAAACGTGCACACATACAATGTTTTTAAACTATCTGCAGAAATCTTGAATTCTTCCACTCAAAACTGATCTGATTGTCGCAGATGCTTCTACAGGTCGGCGCTCAAGAACTTTGGCCACAACTTTGGCCACTCAAAGTCCCTCGTCATTGTACGTTGGTAGGGCAATCTTTAGGATGCTCTGTGGGTTTTCCTCCAGCAGAGGGCGCCATTTCACCTCTCCAGTCAGCAACAGGTCTTCCCCATTCAGTGAATCCAGGTACTGGATCTAAACAAAAAGTTCCAGAGAGTTAACCTGGGAATCTTGTCTGTTTCTCCCACCATCCCATTTTGAGGGGTAATAATCCATCAAAAAAAAATCACTCAATCCATGACTGTTTGTGGGACGCTGCTGTGCACAATTGGCTGCCACGTTTCACCCACAAAGTACAGTCACTCCACTTTACAAAATATTCTGTGAAGTGCTTTGAGACGTCTCAACGACGTGATAAGGCGCTATATCAAATGCAAGGATTATTGTTATTATTGCATGATCTAGCAAGTTAAAGGGAAAACAGACAGTCCCTGATGCTAGTTCTATCTAAATCCACTGAATATTCAGGGTTTATAATAATAATATTTGCATTTGATATTGCGCTTTTCATGTCTTCGACGTCTCAAAGCGCTTTACAGAATAGACTGTAAAGTGAATCGACTGTATATTTGTGGGCAAAATGCAGCAGCCAATGACCAATTGAAGTGACCAATTTATTATTTTTTTTCTTGAAGGATTATTATTAGGCGTGTGAAGTAAGGAAACTTGCCCAGGGTTTCACCCTGCCGGGAATCAAACCCAGGTCTCTCACTTGCAAAGCGAATGCTCTAACCGCTGAGCTACAGGACTCCAAGACTTCAGTTTAGAACTGAAGCCATTGACTGGCTGTATTGTATTAATGAGAAAGCAGTGAGAGCCAATGCTGCGCTCCATAAAAGCTGAGCATGGAACTTCTGCAAATGTACTAATTAAACTATAAAGAATTGGAAGGCACCAGAGATGAGGAATGTCACCTCAGTGACTAACTAGCCTGGAACAAGGTGCAGCAGTGATAAAATAAAATCACTAGCAGATGAAAACCCCCAACAGACCCACTTTATAGTCAGTGCAATTCAATTCCTTACCAATAATTGAATAAATTCAAAAGTCTCCGTGGGGAACTGTTTGAGACAGTGCTTTAGAGGTCTATCACAGACTCCCGGTGCCCCCCACCCCCTGCACCTAGCCTCTCCTCGCAGCCTCCTCATGTGACATCCACCCACTCAGTGATATGCCCCCCCCCACTCTCATTGTGTGTCCCTCATCCTCATCGCGTCCCCAGCTCACGGCAGATTCACCCTCGCACTCCCTCAGTAAGCTTCACCCATATCCTCGAATGCACCCCCACCACCAAACAGGTAACTCGTGACCAGTCTTGCTCAGAAAGATGGTGGTTGTTGGGGAATCAATACAACAGAAATAAATGGACTTGTTTAGTTTCGATCCCAGCTGAAACGAGTTAGGTTTTAATGAATGATCAGAAATCACCTGAAATCAACAATTTCACTGACAAAAAAACAAAGGAAACCCGTCTAGAATCGAGGTTAAGGTGAAGACTGGTTTGGCCTATTTACCTCATCCTCCCAGATCAACCTCTCTCAATCTTCATCCATTACAGATTCTTAAACCTCCAGACGTGTTGGCCTTGACCTCCTAACTCTGAGTAAGTGAACATTCCTGGAACAATGTAATGGGCATCCAATGTGTAAAAAGTCTGAGCTGCGCAAATGGAGGTTTGATGGGTGGAAAGAGTAAAAGATTGCATTCCTAATCAAACCTAATCAGCACAAATGTCACTGAACAATGCAAAGAAATCACACTCTCTGTCCCTAAAAAGTGACAAAGATCCTAAAGCACTGTACATCTAACTTCTTTAATTTAGAGGGTCGTGGGTGGGCAACACAGAGACAGGAAGGGTTAAACTTGAGTTTAAGAGTATTTCTGTCACTTTCTCTTGATCGGCTGGACTCTATTCCTGATTGTAACTGCACAAAATGGCAGCGAGAGAAGAGAAACCCGGCTCTCCCCACGGAATGTGAAACCGATCGCCTGCACATCGGTTACACAAACACATCGGATCCTGTACAACAGCAAATAGAAAGCTATTTCGAGCCCCGCTCCCAAACTACAGATCCTTCACAATTCACTGCCCAGAATATGGATATAGTAGATAAATAAATAAAACCCACACATATGTTTTTAAAAAAACTTAAAATGGAAGTTCTAATAATTGTCAATTTCCTGATCCCAAATAGATCTGGGTTGCCTGGCCGTTTCTCCGGCATATCCCGACACCAAGACCTTGTTTTTGAAAGGAAGTTTCTGTGAAACGGAGGGAGAATTTACAGGGTCAGTCACAACCCTCACATTCTTGCGGTGGGAGCACAGCCACTCGACTGTTCACGCCTCCACCGCGGGGGTTTTGTGCAACTCAGCTAATTGTGCACCATTTCCAGGAATTTCTTTCTTTCCTGTCAGGTTCCAGGTAAACCAATGTGCTAGAGTTGACATTACCTGAAATGAGGCTTTAATTCAGCCTGTGCCCAGGACAGGGCCTCATGAGGTGGAATAGTGCCACGAAAATGGGCCCCAGGTGTGGGCGCAAATACACCCAAACACATACACATGTTCCGCCCTCAAACACACAGACACAAGGTCCCCGGAGTCTCTCACTACTTCCCTCTTCAAACTTTTATCCTGTGTTTCTAGTGAGTTCTATGGCTACTCATAGTGTTGTTGTTGTTGTTGAGTTCACCATCTAACCCTACATCCCAAACTCAAATCAACCCCAATCTTAAACCCAACCTTAACCCCATCTCCGAATCCAACCCCCCCCCCCCCCACCCCAAGGCAACTCAAACCGAGCCAACTAACTAACTAACCCTGACCAAAGCAGCTCAGTAAACAAACACCAAACATACGAGCAAGTTGAAGACTTGTCCATTATCCAATATATCTCTATGGGAAACGCCAGGGATATGCACCAAAACAGTTGGATGCGAAGCGTTTCTAAAATTGCAGACACTTCACACTGAAACCGAAAGTGTAATACAGGGGCTCTGACAAAGCTTGGATCTGAGAGGGGGGCCAAGTGGGACTTATTCCAGGTTCCCCCAGAGGCTCACTGCTGAGGCTGACTTTACCTTGGAGTTTGGAGCCGACATTCTCCCTGGTCAAGGTTAGACCATGTGTGAGATCCCTTGGGATTTTGAGGGAGCACTTTGGGTCGGAGACAAACCCGACCCAACTTTAAAGATCACCAGCGGCTTTCAAAAGATTAAATAGGAGCTTTTCTCTCTCTTAATAACCCAACACTTGCCAAACTCCCTCTGTGGGAGAGAGCATTTTATCACCTATTGTCAGCATCAATTACGAGCAACTGGCTTGGGGCACAGGAATTCTTTCAAGACTCCAACAAAACAAAGCAATTACACTGGGAAAGCGGAGAGTGTAAAATCAACCTTGTGCCTCACCCTGGTGTCAGCGCCTTGGGACGTCCTCCAGACATGAAAGACATATACAAATGTAACTTTTTGTTGTACAGTCAAAGAGGAAAAAATGTTTAACCTTTCACCTCCAATGGAGTGGGTACCTATTGTCTTTTTATTAAATTCTAACCTATAATTAAAGATCAGGTTTAAGTTGTTCCACTCAATTTGTATCTATCTCAATCTCCACATCTTGTATGTATGTTGTTCATAAAAATCTCAATGCAATGAAGATTAAAAAGTGGTTTATTTTAAAGAACACAACTGAAAGCCAAACAAAGGTTTACGCCAAACTGGCGGTATTTTTCTTGACAATTATTTATTTATTTTGCTGGCACGAGTGAGGTATTAAAAAAATAGATTTGGCTTAAAAAGATATTAGCAGTTCCCTTTTTCAGCTCCCTCATCTCTTCCAGCAGTTACTTTTAACTGAGAGAAGGCAGGGAATCAGAGTGGAAATTCGCAAACCCTCTAAAAACAAAGCCTTGGCTTTGGCTTTGGCTTTGGTCTCAGTGCTTTACTATGGAAATTGCGGGCAGGTCGTTCGTGCCTTAAACACATCTTGCACTTACACAGCACCTTTCACTAGAAATGGATGCATTTCAAAGTTTTTCGAAGAAAAGAATCAACCCCTCTCCATGGCTTCTAATTGGCAGAACTGTTCCTCAGTCGAGGAGCAAGAGTGTAACAATCTAATCTAATCATAACATTTGCTAACACAGCAAGGACTGAACACACAACAAACTGAGAGAACGCCTTCCAGTCGCTCTGACATTCTCTAAATCTCCTGTCGAGTCTCTCCCATTGGCAGTTCATCATCCTGAGAACTATGAAGGTAATCTACCCATCCAGCCACCGAAGGTGCCCACTTGACTCCCAGCCCACCTGCTGCCAGCCCACCTGTTTGCGGACGTATTCCACCATCAGCTCCAGCTCTCGGGGGGCCTCACATTGTCTGTTGAAGAGGTTTCTCCAGAGGGCTGCAGCCAACACACGGTCATCAGATAATATCCCCTGAGATGAAAAAAAGCAAAGAGCTATTTGTGAGAGACACAGGCGAGAGTAGAGCCTCGCTTTTGTTAATATGTATTAGATGACAGTAAGAGATAAACCAGGATGACAGGCAGGTAATCTACACAAGGTGATTCGAGACAATCCACATGGGAAAAATATAGTCCTACAGGCTCAGTGGTTACAGCACTCGCTTTGCAAGTGAGAGGCCCGAGTTCAATTCCAGGCAGAGGGCGAAACCTCGGGCAACTTTCCTCACTCCACACACCTAATAATAATCCCTCCAAAACCAAAAATAATAATAAATTGGTCATTTTTAATCCATGACTGTTTGTGGGACATTGCTGTGCGCAATTGGCTGCCGCGTTCACCCACAAATATGCAGTCAATTCACTTTACAGTGTGTTCTGTGAAGCGCTTTGGGACGTCCTCCCGACGTAAAAAGCGCTATATCAAATGCAAGGATTATTATTATTTATTATTATAATCCCATTCAGTTAGCCTCAGTGGGAAGATATTTCCAATCACACAAGGAGACAAGATTCAGACAACCGTGCATTTCCCCCCCACACCCAACACTGAACCCCATCGCACAATGTGAAGCCACAAGCCAAGACTGGGATTGGGGAAGTAGAAAAAAAAACTGGCAGCAATGAGTGAAATACTAATTCATGAATTTAAATAAAACAGTTTATTTTATGTTAGCAAAGAGTTGAAGTGTGCACAGTCAGACTCCAGCGGGCTTGTGCAACCCTCCTGAACTTCAATCGCGCATTTTATTACATCCTGCTAGCCCTTCGCGTCGGGCTAAAGCCAAGCTCAGAGCCACAGGCTGTTTGTTCTCTTTGTAACGTTTCCATTCGTGGCAAGAACACAAGTTGGTGTCGTTTTTGGGCCACAGAGAATTGCATCTCAGACGTTTGAAACTTATTCAACCAGACAACAGAGATTGGGACTCAATTGACTCAATCAGAAGTTTTTCAGCCAAAATCTAGCTTTGTGAAGAATATATATGTATATATATTCTATATCTGGCTCTATATATAGGGAGAGAGAGAGAGACAGAATATATAACCAAGCAGAAAGTACAAGTACCGCATGGCGTTTCATAAGATTAGTATTAGTTCCAAATAAAACAAGGGGATTGAATGCCAAATGATTCTGGTTTCAATGTACAGTGGAGCCTTGTTCTGGCCCAGGCGAGAGATGGAAGTTGTGTTATTTTAATACTTTGCGGGGAAAGAATATGTAAAGATTTGCTTTTTTGGGGAGGAGGTCAGAGAGGTCAAGTTAAGGATGAACATCCGTAAAAAGGCAGAACCTGGTACTCGTCACATTCCTTCACAAAAACCCACGGAAAAGCACACGGAACACTTCCCAATGATACCCAGACACCAGCCGGCTACAGAAACGCTGGTTATATCAGCCTCCTTTATTCCTCCAAATGTTCTCAACTGCTTTATTTTGCATGAGATGTAAATCCGAGGTCAAATCTGCGTGTTCAGGTGGATGTTAAAGATTCCATAGCACTATTCGAAAAGAGAAGGGAGTTTCTCCCAGTGTCCTGACCAACAATCCTCCAGATAAAATTGGTCATTTACTTCATGGCTTTGTCAGACACACCCTGTGTGATATCTGTTGCCAGTTTAAGTCACTTTCCCACTCCACTGATAAATTCCTGTTCTGTAGCAAAGACATGCGAATTTACTTTTAGCATCGTGTTTACTAATGGAAATGGAAACTCGGATTGGCCGGTAGAGCTTTTAAGGATTGTTTAAAATTCCTACACCCCAAATGACAAGTAGTTCTGAAGCATCTTTTGGACTCTCAATCCCAAGTGTTCAGCACCCGGCTATATATAGCGTCCCAAGATGCTGACAGTCAATACATCGGTGGCAAGTTAAGCTGCTTCAGACGCCAGCAGCAGACAGTTCCTGTACACACACATAATCGGCAATATCACCAAAGGTTATTTTAGTCACCGGGAACACCTTGGTGATAGTGTTTATTTGCCATTTATCCTCCGCTGACAGTTTCAGTCTATTCTGAGGCATTTGCAAGTAAACATGGGAGGAATTCACAACTCCAACCTTTTCGGAAGAGCAAAACTGATTTGTGTCTTTCCTCTGTAGTGATGCTCAGAGCACGTGAAGGGCTGTTACAGGTTAGTTGCGTTAACCTGGTCCTTTGTATTAGGGATCAAATACTAGAAACGCTCTCATCAACACATGCCACTTACCTCATCGTAACCAAATATAGCTGCATAGAAGTTCTCGGTCATAATTCTCATACTGTCTTTCAATGGAATGGAGTCAATCTGAGAACAGAGGAGAGATGATGGGAGTAAATCAGTGCAAATGAAAGGGACAAATACATACAGTATATATATATTATACATATATATTATGGAGCCCTCAGGAGGTTGAATGGATGAGATGATGCATCTTAGGATAAGGGTATCACAATAAGTCACTGACAAATATCAGACTCAAGCTGGTGTGAAATCATAAGATTATTTATTTTGCACAGTCATTTCAATAATTCCCGACAACACTGTTTCCCCATTCCCTGGACCCACTTGTCTGCCGCAGCCATAACCAGAAAGCCTAGTTATGTCGAAAGACTAGCTGAACCCATCTGTGACAGAACGTTCCTTCCACCTGCTCACTGCTGTGTGAAGAAGAAAGATTTTCTGATCTTGTTTCGGAATTTTAATAAGTAATCTTTCTTTTTGATGTAACAACCATAACATCAGAAAATTTCAAGCGCTTCGCAGGGAGTTGCTGTCAAAAGTAGGAACTACTAATAATCTTTGCATTTGATATAGCGCCTTATCTTGTCGGAAGGATGTCTCAAAGTGCTTCACAGGTTTTACTGTGAAATGGAGTGACTGTGTGTTTGTAGGTGCACCCCCTCAGCTATTTCTGCTAAGTAAACTTTCACGGAAAAAAAAACATTTAACTATCTAAACATGTTATATTCCTTCCTGTTAACTCAATACTTTAACATGTAAAACTCGCTAACACTTGAACAAACAGCCCAGATTACACGTCCTGCTGCCTGGCTGTGTCCCTGACTGAATGCTGTCCTACACGGGCTGCTCAAACGACAGCACATTTCTGGCTCCTACAACACACAGTAAGTTAAAACTAAGAAAACTGCCTGAGATAGATTGTACAGCGTTTTGCAAATCTTTATGTTGGACTTCAAAGCCCTATTTAGGTTGTGTGTGTGTTGGGGGGAAGGGGAGAGAGGAGGGGGCAGTGGGGGGAGAAACCAGACAACAACTGGATATTTCAGTGCAAAGCTGTTAAGATGAGACCTCATATGGGGGGATGGGGGGTTGTTTGCTTATACAGTGAAGCGCATGAACTGTATGGATGCTGGAAATCAGATGGAGGATGCCCAAGGCAAGCTCGGAGTTAAGTCTCTCTTTGCCAAGAGTGAAAAAGACGCCAATTAAGAGTAAAGTAGAGAGGCGAGGAGCCGTGAAAAAGCACTGGCCTCTGAAAGCTGCCCTGCTCTCCCCACGCTAACAACTGCGGCTTTATGAATGTAACCTTCCGTCTGTGAGTGAAATTACTGCCTCTGCCTATTTCTTTTTCCCCTGGAGCAAGGGGCAGGCGGTGCGAAAGGCAAGCTGGAATACATTATCACTGAGTACAAACGGCAGCCACAGTTTCAACTTCCAACAAGGAGGAAAAACATTGCATCATTAAATAAACTGACAAAAAAAAGCAGCAGCAATAAAATGACCTGCGGTACAAGCTCTTAAAGAACAATTGTGTTGCTTTTTCAGAAAATCTGACTTTAACCTTTTATTATGCGTCGGCTTGCCCAAACACTGCAGGATCAATCGGATCAAAGATAGATTTACAGCGCAATTGGTCTTTCAGCCCATCATGTCTGCGCTGGTCTCACTCCACTAGAGCACTCTACTCTAACCCCATTCACCTGCCCTTTTTCTCCTGCTCTTGGGAGAGAGAAACAACCCTTTAATATTCCTTTGTGTTGAAGTGCTTTCCTATATCAGGGTCTGAACTATAAAGAGATCAGTAAGGCAATGTCACGCGGGGCAGCGTCTCGGAGCACTTAAACTTGTTTACAAAACTTGTTCACCTAAGAGTGAGTAAATAAGTGTGTGTTTGTGTGCCTAGAGATATTTGTTTTGATTTTCATTTTTAAAAAAAACACCATAAAAATGGTTTCAAGGTATAGACAGAGGCTTATACAGGAGGAAACCTGAAGGCAAGAGTGCACTCCACAGAGAAATATCACACAATGGACTGCTTGGACTCAGTGAGCGAGCGAGCGAGCGAGCGAGGAATATGGCGGCAGGAAGAGGAAGGCAGGAATGAAAGAATCTGCATTTTTATAAGGCTTTACCACATCAAAACATCTCAAAGTGCTTCAGAAGTAAATGCTGTCAAGCGCAATGACTATTTTTGATGTGGTCAACAGTGTGGAACCTTTTCAAACCTTACTGAGAATTCTTAAACACAGGGAAGCGAAGATGATGGTTTGAGTCCCTTAAACGGGGCGTTCTGTTAGTCCTGAAACAAACCTGGCACCAGGTAAGTTACAGGAGAGCTCAGTGGGGCTCAGAGGTAACGAGTTAAAATAAACCGTATAGACTTCTCCGAAGGAGGGTTAGAAAATCTAAAAAATAAACAATATAATGACCCTGAAGTTATTTGCAGATCTTGATAGATCTCTGGCCTTATACAAAATATACAGACAGAACTCGACTGAAAGAGTTGAAAGTGCTGAGGTCAGGAGAGCTCAGTATTGTTTAGACAGCTGTGTCAATTCTCCATTCCCAAACCTCACCAACCAGCCTTCCTTGGGTATTGCTGATTAGCCAGGGATGGAGAGGGAGAAAGAGAGAGAGTGCGAAAGAGTTAGAGACAGACACACAGCGAGAGTCAGAGAAGGATAGAGAGTTAGAGACAGGATACAGCAGAAAGAGACTGAGTCAAACATATATAGAATAAGTCAGAGAAACAGAGAAGAGAGAGAGAGAGCGCGCGCGAGGCTTTCACTAGCTGCCTTGGTTAAGTGTTTTATCCAATCCTCAAATTTCTGAGAATTGAATGACCTAAATTCATACATTAACTATCTAATAATGAATGCCATGTGTTCCCATTTACCGCAGGAGAGGACAGAGAGGGAGGAGCCCCGATTACTTGAAAGTATTAAATTTAAAACAAATATTCTCCTCCAATAGCACCACACCTGTTTGGCATCACATACCCGTGCAAATACCCTCACACAACAGAGTCAATAATTGATGCTGGGGGGAGGGGGTGGATCTGCAGCACAATGTCTTTGCTCTCTGGGGAGATTTGATCCGTTAGCAGTTAGCCAGTATCCCGGGCAGGTAAAAAGGATTAAACAGCTTAGCCTGGTTTAGGGAGACAACAGCTCACTTCACCGAGTTAATGTAAAGTGTGTCAAGAGAAGTGAAGCTAATAAAGATGGTTAGATACAAGCTGTATCTACCGTCTTTATTCAGTGGAGGGGCCATTCGCTGCTGTGTATATAATTCAAGGCAGGGAGTGATTTGACTCCTCCCTCCCCAAAGAGGCATTGAGCAGGGCGGTGTGCTGGCACACTGTCCCTCCACCAACCAGCCAGGCCCACAGTGATCTGGTGAGAGTCTGCACCAGCTGTAACACTCTCACATTGGCTTAAACCACTGCCCCAACCCAGCACAGGGCTTAATACACAGCACAAACTGGCAACGTCAGTCCTCTCTCCTCCTGATCCAACCCGACAGGGGGAAGCCTCAAGCTCCAGTTCCTCAGATCCCATTAGCCCTCCATACTGCCTCATCTTAGAGAGTCTGGACACAGCCGATGTATGTTTGTGTGCATATGTTAGAATGTATGTGTATGAGAGAAGAAGAGTGTGTGTGTGTAGTTTAGTGCGTGAAGCAGTGAGCACAAGAGTGTGAATAAGTGTGTAAGAGTGAATGTGAGTATGTTATAACACACAAGAGCGTCCCTTAGTCTCGAGCAGAGCCCGGGGAAGTCAGAAGAGAATAACGAGACTCAAAGCGAGCAGCTACCCACCCCACCACAGCACTGTGCTCTCCCCCTCTTCCTGCCCTCTACCCCTGCGTTGCGCCATCCCCCCTCCCTCATCCAGCTCTTAAGTTGAAAGAACTTGGGATGGGCTAAACACAAGGCACACTGTGGCCATAAGCCTGCACAGCCGAGCAAACCAGTAGAGAATTCATCACCAACATTGGAAAATTGACTGATAAAAGAGTTATAGGAACTGCTGCTGTCGGGAAAGGAAATGAAAGGGATGTCAGTACTGTGTGGTGCTCGTTCAAGGGGAAGGCTAAGCTGCATGATTTGTATAGAAGTTGTACATTTAACCCGGGCCTTAGCTAAACGTATTCGTTATCAACATGTCCTCCCGACATGAAAGGCGCTATACAAATGTAATTTTGTTGTTTCAACAAAGAGCAATGATGTTTTACCCTCTCACTGACCAGTCTGCTCCTCACTGAGCTGGAAGCTACTAGTTGGTGTGATTTAGTGTGATCGACTTCAAGATTGACTTCACCCTTGTCCTCAAATCCCTCCACTCCTCTGCACCCTCCGACCTCTCTGAACTCCTCTCTCCTCAAAACAGTGCCCGTTGCCTTCATTCCTCAGGGTCTGGTCTCCTCCTTGTCCGCCGAGTTCTCCGCTCCACCCTCGGCGGCTGTGCCTTCAGCCACTATGCCCCGAGGCTCTGGAACTCCCTTCCTCACTCTCTTTGCCTTGCTCCCTCTCTTCCTATTTTCAGGTCTTTGCTGAAGACCTTTCTTTTCGACTGCGCTTTGGTCAACTTCCTCCCCCGGCTCCCCCACTTCCCCTGGCTCCTCCCCCTCTCCCCGGCTCGGCCCCGGGATCCGTTACTGTGAAGCTCTGAGACGCCGTCCGGCGTGGAGGGCGCTATATAAATCCAATTTGTTGTTATTGTACTATCCCCCTGAGAGCTGCAGTCCCTGCGCTCTGGTGTATTGTGTCCGTGTGAGTTATTAGTGTTTTACCCTGATAGGGGTTGTAGCAAAGCAATGGTTACCGTTATGGTTGAAAATAATAATAATCCTTGCATTTGACATAGTGCCTTATCATGTCTTCGAGACGTCTCAAAGTGCTTCACAGAATATACTGTAAAGTGCAGTGACTCTATATTTTGTGGACGAAATGTGCAGCCAATTGCGCACAGCAGCGTCTCACAAACAGCCGTGGAGACAAGGGACCAATTTATTATTACTTTCTTTGAAAGCATTAAGTAGTTCCTTCTGCCCACATTACGCACATGATAATCTCACTATAGACAAAGACACCAGCAGCAGCGAGGCGAAGCAGGGAGCTGAAGGAACAGACCCCAGAGGTACATATTTCTTAAAACCGAATCTCGCCTCCTGGCACGTCTGCGTGAGGTTACTGGCACAAAGGGCCAGCGACGCTGAAGGAATCACTAACACTCTGAAAGTTTTGCTTGGACGATCTTATTCTAAGTGATTTTTTTTTTACAGGGCAGGTTTTTCCTAACGCTCAGTGTAAGTGAAAGGGCCTCCATTGTGCTGCCATGTTGGAGCCAGTGCGGAGATGTGACCAGATTTCACGTTACAGAGAGTGGCTACTCCTACCCTTCCCTCTCCCCCACCCACTACTTTAAAAATACCTCAGTGGAAAAAAAAATCCTTTTCCCCACATTTCAAATTGCTTTGATTTTCTGATCGCAAGGTAAATCGAGGATCCCTGAGCTAGTGAGCGCAGCGGTAAGTGAAGACAATAAATAAAGAGCTCCTGCATGCTGACGTGTTTAAAAGCTGCACGGAAGCTGAGTTCTGCTGAGGCCTCTCCAGACCACCATTTATTGCTGCTAAAACAGCATTTTAAAATAATAATTTTCCATGCCAAGAATCCTGCTCTTAGCTCTCCAGCTCAGCTACAGCCTTGGGACCCGCTGCTCGATTGCAGAGGGGCAGCAGACGTGGTGCCTGACAAGACAACTTTGGCAACGAGGATTCCCCCCCCAGTCAATCAACCTCAAACCTTCCATGTTTTTGCCCACCCAGCTTCCGCTATCTCGTCTATCCACCCCCCCACGCACCCAGGCTTGACCTTGATAAGAATGCTGACCAAAAGCGTTTGATATAGCACCTTACAATGCAAGGATTATTATTATGATTACTATTATTATTATGTCATTGAGACTCTCACAGGATATACTGTAAAGTGGATTGATTGTATGATTTGTGGGCAAAATGCAACAGCCAATTGTGCACAGTTGTGTCCCACAAACATTCGTGGATCGAGTGACCATTTGGAGGGATTATTACCCCCGGAAAGCGATCCTACAATCGATTAACAACCGGGTTCCTACTTACTGCGAGGTAAACAGGAGTGTGGAGTAAGGAAACTTGCCTAAGGTTTCGCCCTGACCTGGAATCGAACCCGGGTCCTCTCGCTTACGAGGCGAGTACTGTAACCACTGAGCTACAGGACTCCACAAGGGCTCCCACTGCCCATCCAACTGCTGCTATCTCCTCCAGCCCGCCTGCCCTCCTCGACCAGACAGGGAGAAGGTAATGTTAAGGACACTGACCTAAAGCATGGCTGTAAAGAGGTTTGGAGAGGGATTGGAGGAAGGTAGATATGGTGAGAGGCTGAAGGGATCTGAAGCTCGTGGCAAGGGATGTCCACTAGTGTGTGGGGAGCCAGCAGAACCTTGTGAGGACGTCAGCACACAGGACCCGAGTGTTGGAGAGAATACCAAGACCACAGGAGCGGCTTGCTCATGTCAAGTGTGCTGTACGCAACAACAACGTGCATTTATATAGAGCCCTCCTCCCCTCTGGGTAGCATCTAGGAATGCTTGCCCCGCCCTTGCTCGCTTGCATGTTATGATGTGTGGAGGCACTGACTTACCCCCATGACTTTGCCCCTCTGCTCCAGGTCCTCCCACATGGAGTGCACGATATACCTGCACATGTACTTCCCCTCTCGGCCTTCCTGCTTCATCCGGACCAACGACATCCTGTAACAAAAAGAGCACAAGGTTTACCCTCCAACAGCTCCCCGAGCTTACTGTCAACCAACACTCACAGCTTCTCACTTCCAGAAATAAATAACATTAGACAAAGCGCCTTTCACATCAGGCTTTACTTCACCAAACACATCACAGGATGTACTGTAATGTGCATGACAAATATGCAGTCACAACACTTTACAGTATATCCTGTGAGCACTTTGAGACGTCTCGGAGACGTGATAAGACGCTATATCAAATGCAAGAATTATTATTATTTTCGTAGGCAAACGAGGCAGCGAATTTGCAAACAGCAACGACCCTCAAACAGCCATGAAGTGAACGACCAAACTCCAAAGTTAGCAGATTCGATCCTCACTTGGGGCAGTATCAGAAGTTTGAAAATGTCCCATTGCTCTGGGCTGGGAAGCTCCTGACGCTATCTATCTAGAAACCCTGGGGAATGTGCGTGTGGGGTAAGAACAGGGTGACCTCCAGCTCGTGTTCAGCGAGATTAGAGCCACTGCAGACTCGCAAACGGGTCACTTTCTTTCAGAGCTCCCAGGCTGCTCAGTGCTATTTACAGAGAGCGAATTCTAACACTGAGCTCAAACACAAGCTGCACTCTCTTAATCTTTGCCCCACTCCCCACCCCGTAGCCCCCAAAACACAATGAAAACACAATGAATTCTCACAATAAACCCATTTGAAAGATCTACAAGTCCAGTAATAGATTCCAAAGTGAATTACATATTGCAATTTAAAGGTCTAGAGCATCCCCACTTGTGTGCCTTAATAAAATACACAATGGATGAGAGTGTGTCAGTTTGGCTCAGCTGTTAGCGCTCTCACCTTTGGTTTGAAAAGTTGTGGGTTCAAGACCCAAGTCAGGACTTGAGCTTATAGTCTAGGATATCTCCTCAGTGCAGATGCATTGTCGTAGATGCTTCAGATAAGACATTAACTGAGTTCTGTCTGCCTGTTCAGGTGGGCTTTAAANCGTTTCACATTTGGGAAAAAATGTGGGAAAAAAAGAAAATTTCACCAACATCCTCTCCAACAATTCTCCAAATTAATCGGTCGTTCACTTCATTGTTGTGTGTGGGAGGGAAAGGGGTGGTGGGGGGTTGCTCTGAGCAAACTGACTGCACATCCGTCTACAAATAGTTACTACGCTTTATAGTGATTACCGGTGAAGCACTCTGAAATGTTTCGTCTCTATCGGTTCTGTATCCCATACTTACGAAGAGTGTTTTGCAAGCTAATCATAGGAACAGGAGTAGGCTATTCAGCCCTTCAAGCCTGATCCACCACTTAATTAGACCATGGCTGATCTGTTCCTCAATTAATCCTTTCAATTCCAATTTCCCACTTTCTCCCCATATCCCTTAATACCCTGACCTACCAAACATCTATCAACTCACAATTGATGGAATAATTGCATGGATTATTAATATTATTAAGTATCGCTCCAATAATCCTGGTAAAGGCACGAAAGGAGTTACAAAAGGATGCTCTGACAATGGGACTCTGAGCTTGTAAGAAATTATCAAAATGTCCACAGACAACGCACTGACCAAGGGGACGAAACTCAAGGAAACCTTCAGCAACCAGCCAATACACACTGGTTGTAAATCTAGCAAAGGTATCAAAGATGAGTAGCAAAGATTAGGGCTATTGGCTTAGAACGGGACTAGTTGATAGCTCTTTCAAAGAGCTGGGACAGGCATGATGGGCCGAATGGCCTCCTTCTGTGCTATAAGATTCTATGAAATGACTATAAACCAAGAGTTAAATTGGAAAATCATTATGTATATAAAAAAAACTTTAACCAGTAAATCAGGGGCTCATCATTCCCTGCAGCAAAATGTCAAACATTGTGACAAACAACATCTCAATTAAGTCCTGGCTCTATCTGAGATTCTCAGCCAACGTCAGTCTGCGAGTGTCCCAAGTTACGCAAGTCACAACTGGCTCAACTCACAACTAACTCATCCTATTTTGCAACTAGCAGCTGTGATTTCACTCTCTGACTTTTCACACGCATATTTCCTCTGCTGCACAGGATGAATCATCTTCATGAAATATTTGCCATGATTCTTAGAGTATTCCACAATCCAAACCAACAGCTTTGGGGGAGAACAAACACTTCATTCTGCGAATCACCCAATACATGCTCACTTGCGCTATAACAATGTAAACTGTGTTTTTTGATATAGTGCCTTATCACGTCGTTGAGACTTCTAAAAGTGCTTTACAGAATATAATATAAAGCGAACTGACTGTGTTTTGTGGGCGAAACGTGGCAGCCAATTGCGCACAGCAGTGTCCCACAAACAGTCATGGAGTTAACAGATTTTTAATTTAAATTTAATTTAAATGTTAACAGGTTGTAAGGCCTCCTCTCCTGCAGGCTTGGTTGGTGAAGGCACCTATTGCCCAGGTTCAGACAGTAACTAATTCCTGTCTGGGCAGCAACAGAACACTACAATTGGTTTGAGGACCCTGGGGTTTGGGGAAAGAAGATGCAACCAGCCAGGGTCCTCCTGCTCTATGTTACTGTACTAGTGAGAGAGAACATAGAATGAGCAGAGGATAGGCCTCTTGCTGGGTATTCCATGCCCCCACGTCCCTCCTCCCTTGGTTGAATATCCTACAACATTCACTACCTGAGCTCACACACTGAGCCTGACCGCAGCAAAAGGAGAAAAAATTGGGCACATTTTAAAAAAAATACGGCTAATATGCCACCTGTAAAGCTGACTTGAACACACTTAGAAAAGTCTCCCCCATGAGTTACGAGTCCGATGTAAGTCACATCTCATGGTCCTACATTGCCAGTAAGCTACTGAAGCTGTGCTGAACCCTGTCACTAGAGGGAACCACACACCATTCTCACAACAATGAGCCGTGGGTACCTCAGCTGAGCCACTTCTCATTGCTCAACCTAACCAAGACTTTATATTCTAACCAGTGTGCTTTCCCCTTGCTTTACACCACATGCTGAGAAACTCAATGCCATTACACCACAGCGCCCCCCAACCCCCCCACCACCCCCAACACACACTGTGATTTAATCTTTAATCAAACACTGAGCCACTGCTATAGCTTTGCACTGCTGGTGACAGAGGAAAAGTCAATGAATGCAAAGTGCTTGAAGTTCTGAAAGCGAGACTGACTAATAGAGGCACGAGCCGTGCCAAGCAACCCAGATGCTGTGGAGTTTAATGGCAGTAATTGCGTTGAGACGTTCAGATGCACGGAAAAAGCTCCAACTTTGCTTGGACGTTTTATGTGGTCTTTGGGGCCCTCTCGGTGATGAAGTCACTATCTAATGTCTTTACATAACGTCATTGCGCAAAATTGCGTCTCGCTGTCAAAAGCATCCCACCAAAACCTCAGCTTTAAACGCACACGTGAAACAAACCGCAGCTTAATTCTGGCACAATTATTGCTGTTCACTTCATTCCACCCCATTCACATCACTAACTTTGTCACTGAATGTTCCCTAATGTGCACCAGAGAGAGAGAGCGAGAGAGGGGAGAGAGCTCTAGTGGAGGAGTGAACGAGCGAGCACCATGGGCCAAATGGCCTCCGTCTGAGCCATAATTTGTATGGCTGGGACGGGACAGCCGCCATCTGTTCTCTTCACGGCATGTCGAAGCCTGTGTAAAAATACTTAGGGCATGAACTAAGCGGTGAAAAAGAAAATGAGCACATGTATAATGGATCTGATCAGCCAGCCTGGAGCGCGTTACAAGGCAGCAACTCACAGCAGCTCAAATGATGTCATTTCAATGTCATCTGAACCCTGAGGTGCGCTACGCACTTGGAACACACGCCGGCTTATGTTATTATAAATAACATGTACAGCACCACTCGGCGAGGAATGGTTTGATTTAATTTTGATGATTTTTTCCCCTTCAGTATGTTTACAGAATGTTTGGAGTATCGTAAACTGCTGCATGTTAAGAGGAAATGCAGCTCACGATACCCATCAGATAAAAGATAATCCTTAATAAACATTGCATTTGATATAGCACCTTATCATGTCATTGAGATGTCTCAATGCGCTTTACAGGATATTGTAAAGTGGAGTGACTGTATTTTGTGGGCAAAACGCGGCTGCCGGTTTGTTGCGCACAGCAATGTCCCACAAACAGCCTTGGAGTGAGTGACCAATTTTTTTTTTATTTGGGGGATTATTGACCAGAACACTCTTTTTGAATAGTGCCAAGGAATCTTTAATGTCCGCCTGAACTGGCAGGCGGGGCCTCGGGTTAACGTCTGATCCGAAGGACTGCACCTCCAACAATGCATCACCTCTTGCACTGCATTGGAGTGTCAGCTTAGACTATACGATTCCAAGTACAGATGTGGGGCTTGAACCCACAATCTTCGGACTCAGAGGTGAGAGTTCTATCACTGCGCCAGGCTGGCACAAAGGCTGATAAAGCAGATGATATGAAATCCTTAGGTTTCAGCAACTCCTTGGCTGAAGAGTTGATGTGCTGGTTGACAATCCCATGGGCATCTCACTCAAGAGTCTGTGGGTAGATGAGCCAAGGGCTCTAAATAAATGCAAGTTGTTGTTGTAGGCATGCAAGCCCAGGCTATGCGAGTCCAGTTCAGCTCCAATGCTACCTCAGCAGTCATTGCTAGCTGCATATTGAACAGCACAGAGCTTCTTTCAGGCTTTGAGTGAGCTTCCTCTGAAAGTCATGGGGGCCACTCTGTCTCAGCCCAACTTGTTCCAAGATTGTGGAACATAAAACTGACAAAAGATGGACGACGAGATCAGGACTAATATTTGCATAAGTCAAGCTGAGGTGACTGTAAATCCACTGCACATCCCGCCACCCGGAAACTTGCACACAGGTGTCAGTGATTGTTTGCTCGCCCACTCTTTACCCAATTCCCAAACATCCAATCCAACAACCCAACCCAGCCCAACCTAACCAACCCCCAGTCCTGCCCAACCCAACTAACCCAGCCCCACATAACCCAACCCAACAAACTCCCAGCTGAGTCCAATCCAACCAATCCCCAGCCTGGCCCAACCCAACTAACCCCCTGCCCAACTAACCCAGTGCAACCCTGCCTGGCCCAACCCAACCCACCCCCAGCCTAGTCCAACCCTGCCAAACCCAACCAACCCCCAGCCTGGCCCAAGCCAGGCATGCTGTCCAAGTTGAGACCCAAACTTGAGCTGGCAGCCAACACTCAGATCATTGAAACAATGATTTTCTTCCCTGTAAAATGCAGTTGGCATCACCAATTTCTGAGCAAGAAAACACTCCGAGACCCAACCACAGCTGACCTTGGGCTGCAACTGGTGACAAAAGACAACGTCCCCTTTCAGGTGCACGGTACATCTTACTCCACCCCGAGGAGGAAATCTTCTTATTGTTCTGTTACTCAACCCAGCAATTGGGACCAGTGGCTGACTGATGTATACAAACTGCAATGGGAACAACGTGACAAACTGCAGCCTTTATCCCTCATCATGGCTGGGAAGTGGATCCCAGTGTAGGTGGTTTGTGGGATGCTGCTGTGAGCAATTGGCTGCTGCATTTCACCCCCACAATATACAGTCACTTCACTTTACAGTGTATTCCGTGAAGCACTTTGAGACGTCCCGAAGACGCGATAAGGCCTATATCAAATACAAGGATTATTATTATTATCCCTGTAACCACTGAGCTCTCAGACAAATTCGATCTCACATTTCTAACCGACCTGTGGCATGCCTGTGGTATCTGCATCCGCATCCTTACCTGTTAGCAACAAAAACAACAGCGTGTCCATGCTAATATCCTCACCCAACTGTTTGGATTCATAACAAGAATATTTAGACTAAAGAGCAGCGTTAAGGCTTCAGTTAAGACTTCAAAACCACAGTGTCGGTGATTCCTCTCTCCTCTCCCCCTTCCCCCGCCCCCAATGTGGCGTTCTCAAACAAATCACGTCACTCATTCAAAACTTTCTCACCCACAGCCAGCCTGTTTATTTGATGTACTGCCCCATTTTAGTCTCATTAATCAAAGATTATGGGAAGGTGAGGTAATGGAGCAGGCCGTTTTGTGTCAGAATAGTGCAGCTTGTTATGGCGACTGTCACACAGCCTCACTGTTACATTAACCATTTCAGCAATATTATACATTAAGTCACGTTTGCGCCCAGACACGCACGCACACACACACTCACCCTGTCTCTACCCCTTGTTCCTACCACTGTTTGCAATTAAATCCACAGAATCTTGGCCCCTCCTAACCTTTCCACCCAAAGATGGGATCTGCAAGCCATCCTCTCACCAATATTTCAGGTTATATTTAATACAACTTTATCTTGTAAAAACTTTGCCAATAATTCACAAGTGTAGTCACTGTTTTTGCAGGCAAATGCAGCAACCAGCAGGAGGTGAACGACTGATTAATCTGCAGGATACTGATCAGGACACCAACAGAAACTCCTCTCTTCTCCAAAAGATCTTTGATATCCACATGAACAAGACTTAATATTTTATGGGCAAAACGCAGCAGCCAATTGATCACAGCATTGACCCTGTAAACAATTGTGGATTGAGGGACCAATTTTTTTTTGATGGATTATGTCCCCAGAAAGCGATCCGCCAATTGACTAACAACCGGGATCCTACTTACTGATAGATAAACAGATGTGTGGAGTAAGGAAACTCTCCTAAGGTTTCGCCACGCCCGAGAGTTGAAACCAGGTCCTTTCGCTTGCAAGGTGAGTACACTAACCACTTCACTACCGGGTTCCACAATGGTGAAAAACAGGCAGCAATACTAGAAAACTTGTTTGTTGAGACTCAAGTTTTGATGGAGACAAAGCAGAACAGAGTCTCTAACTCGCTAACGAATATTAAACTCCACATTCTGGAGCAATAGCTAGTTTGGCACAGTCAGCTGAGATTTCACTGGATACAGAATATTAAATTGTGCCAGTTGTGTTCAGCTGCTGGCATTTTCATACACAAGATTCCAATATAATGGGCGACACTTAAACCTCTTGGACTCACTTGTTAAGAGACTTGAATTTGGAGTTTTACTCACCAGACATGAAGCTGTGCAACAAGAAACCAAGAGTTTAACGTATCCGGTAAATTGCATCCTGTGTGCACAGAAACAAGGATTCCATTTTACTTTTACTTGAAAAATAAATGATCAAACCCACTTCACAGGTCACTGGCTAATACGGGAGAGGTTCTACCCAAAACTCACACCCCCACCAACACACAAAACCCACAAAAATAAACCACCTTCCCGTTGACTTTCTGGGAGGATGCAGGATAGGGGTTTTCTCCTTCGAATTGTGTGGTTTAGGGAATGTGATCGGGATATAACTAGCAATCCTTTATATGAAGGAACTTTGGAAAATCATTTGGAGAAGCAGAGACCACAAGGGCCTGGCTAGCTTCGTGGAGCAATGAGCTGAATAAATATATTGCCACGTAGGTTGAATGCTTCAGTCCGTTAACTTGGTTAGCATAAGGACCGGGGCAGAGGAAGGCTGCCTCAATGCCAGGAATGCAGCAAACGGCGTTGTGATAGGGACCAAGTAAAGGCTGTGGCCATGGGAATCAGGTTTAGTGCAATCTCACAGTCCTATTTGCATGTGACTAACTGGCCGGAAACCCCCGGGACTGGACAATCTGTGAGAACAATGTCATTGCAAAGAAATCCTGTCCCCAGCCCACAGGCCCCCGCTTTGCAAACTGGGACCCAAGTCATGGCCAATCAGTCTGTCAGTCATCAAAGGCATATAAAATTATGTTCCTATATTCCTGTCCTAAAACACATCTCGAGATCTCTCCATAGGATGTTTTTATCCACTCTTTGACCCATTCAATGTGGAGGGGGTAGGAAGAAGAGGGTCCCGGTTTGACTTTAAGATTCACACTCTGTTCCCATCTATGAACATTTCACACTCTCCCTGATTCAGCTCTGCATATCTCTATTATTGCCTGTTCTTTAGTGCACTGAGAGGCTTGTTTATCCTAAGTTTTTTGTACATAAATAAGTGTCACGTACAAAAGATGCAAAACTGGGTATTGATCCCCTCCCCCGCCCAGCGCTGGGAGTGTTTTTGATGGTTTGCATTTTATTTAAAAAAAGGGAAAAAAAAGCATTTTTTTAAAAAAAACGTAATTCTGAGCAGTTTGTTTGGAGTGAGTGAATGCCTGGGGTCGGCTGATCGCGGTGGGAGGTGCACAAGACAGAACGCTGGCGGGTGGCTGGGGGCAATGTGAGCACGGTTTCCCCCGGCTGGTGTGCCACATGGGGCTGAGGAGATTAATGGTGGTGCCAACAATGAACAACGTTAAATCTCAGTGTTACTAGCACGTCTCACGTGAGGGCAGCCCCATGGATTCCAACAATAATCGTTCGGCATAATGTACAAAAACACTTGTTTGAAGTCAGATGTTGGCAGATACTCTCCAGAGAATATTATCCCTTTTCTCCGGTGTAGGGTTTGGAGAAGTTAACTGCAGAGTCAAGTGGCCAGGACATTCTCATTGTTCTTGACAAATATAAAAGTAATTGACGCTAACCTGCAGGGACTTGAGCTGAGTTTATTTTCGTTTCAGCACGGGATCGCGAAAGGCTGCTTTTGTTAAGGGGATAGTGTGACGGCATCTAAAGGCTTAATTTACAGAGCACTCTGTCGGTGGAACAAGGGCTCTTTACGTCTTACATTGTGCACAAGGCCAACTACAAAGCAGCCTGACCCGATGCCAGGTCCCGTCACGTGCATACCATACAGAAAACAAGAGCTCCTGGTAACCCAGAAAAACCTAACGGAGTTACAAGCCTATGACCCAAATTCTCAGGAGCCCACCAAACATTTCCAAGAGTGTAATGAATTCTATCAGGCATCCAAAGCTGTTGACAGATGGTATACAGGCTTCTCATAAGTGAATTTGTGCCGTTCTGCATGAAAGGAACTCAATTCTAGGAGGGTTTCTGATTCACCCCCGTAAAACTAGCAGTTTAAACCCAAGGAGCCCCTGATGTTTTATAAAAGGAGAGCTTAGAGAGAGAAAAAAGTTTGAAGTGACTTTTCCCAGATGTCTAACTTGCGGTATTTCTTAATAAGGAATTGGAGTCCTGCAAAGCGGAGGTTCCTGGCAATGGGAAACACGGTGCTTTGAACCATGGGGACTCTGATGCGATCGACAAGCTCCGGGAAGAATTATTAAGGAATCCCATGAACAAACACTGCAGATTAGGCTTTCCGCTGCACACCACCATCTCCCTGCAAACCACTGCTTACTCACGGCCATTGATAAGGACTCTAATCCCAGCGCCTGTTAGACCCACACCTCAACTCACCAGGACTTGTGCTAAATAAAATGCACAAGCTAAGTACACCAGCAATAAGAATTGACAATGTTGACAAAAAGGTGCAAAATATTGAAGCGGCATGAGCAGGTAGGCATCAACTACAACTGCCGGCAATCCAGAGGCTTCTATAGTCAGAGCTACTGCTGATCAGGCTTCAGACCTCAGACACAAGTCAACAGCACATAACAACAAATGACATTCACACAGCACTTTTCACGTTGGGAGGACATCCCAAGGCGTTGGACAGTCGGGGTTTGGGATCTGAGCTGGGGATTGGGATCAGGAGGGGTGGAGGGCAGGGAGGTGGGGATATGAGGGTGGCCGAAGGCATGGTCGAAGAGGGTCTTGAGATGCACCATGAAGGAGGCAAGGGAGGGAGCAAAGCGAAGAGAATGTGGGATGGAGTTCCAAAAGATGGGACCTGTGTTGTCCGGTATGTGTGGTCTGTTGACCGAGGCTGCACCTCTAATCGTTTCAGACCCAAACAAGCCTGTGACACCAGGTTTCATTTAGCTCCATGAGGGGCTGATTCCGTGAGATCACCATAGCAAGCAATAATCATGGAGCTTCGGATAAGACGCTTTAACCCGAAGCCCACCACGATGTATCTGCGAGCCCACCCACTCCATGCTCAGAAATTTAAAATACACACACACACATCACAATGAGCACACCACCAGAGCTCTCTGCCAGTCAATTCATTACGTACTTTCAAAGAACTCGTCATAGTTTATTCGCTCCACGCAGCATGTGTACATGCGCAGGCCGGCAATCTTGATTTTCTGTAACAGAAAGAACGATTAAGAATGCTATTTTTGGTTTCTTTTTTGTAAGAAAATAATCAGAAGTGGGACTCCAAGCGATGGGAGGAAACAGTGAGGGGGCAGGAATTCAAACATTTTAAAATTCTGATTTGAAGATCAGTACTGATCTTCAAATCCCCTCAACCAACATACAAAACCTTCCCCAGCCCTATTCTCTTGCCTTGGCTTTTCTACTGCTCAGATTTAGTGGCCACTCAGCCTCCAGGACCCTGTCCACTTTCACCCACTACTGCTTTTGCTGCCTTCAAAATCCTCTTAAAATCTATACCTATAACCTCTGGAACTCTCTCCCTTTGACCCCTCCATCTTGTCCATCTCTATCGGTCTTCAAATTGCATCTTAAAACCTATCATTTCAACTGCGCTCACGGTCATCTCTCCCTTCTCCCCTGCTCAGTGTGTTCCCATCACTGTGCAGCACTCCGACATGCTGGGCACTAATATAAACGCAAGTTGTTGTGAATGTTTATGCTTCCTTACTCCACACGCCTCTGCTTACCTGGCAGTAAATAGGAATCCGTTTGTTAGTCAACTGGTGGATCATTTTTCTGGGCGCCATAATCCCTTCAAAAATAATAATAATTTGGTCACTCAATCCACAACTGTTTGTGGGACACTGCTGTGCGCAATTGGCTGCCACGTTTCTCCCATACAATATAGTCAATCTACTTTACAATACATTCGGTGAAGTGCTTTGAGACGTGTCAAAGACATGATAAGGTCCTTTATCAAATGCAAGGATTATTATTATTATTATTAAAATAAAGTAACAGAAACTTTCAATGAAGTGAAGGAAAGCAAAGGGCGGAAGAGAGATGAGCAGAGCAAACCGCACTTAGCAATGACATATCTGCCACATTCCATGATAATAACAAGGATTTGCTGCTTTGGGAACTGTCCGAATGATTAATTGCATTTGGGGGACGGAGATTTCAATAGGATTCATTGTTTCTGGGCTGTGTTGTGCTGCAGGGCAGGGAGGGGGGAAGCCGGCTGCTGTACTTAGCACAATGAAGTGTCGAGTGTGAATTAATGGACCCACCGAGGATATAACTGAGCTTATCGTCCTGCGGAAAGTGCCAACCAGTGAAAGGAGGAAGGAAAAGGATATGAAACGAGGAAATAAATAAATTGAGGAGGGAAGGGAAGGGTAACGTAACACAAACCTGTGCTCGGACTGAAGATATTTTATCTGGCTGCACTCCACACTCTCTTTCTCTCTCCGCCCTTCCTTGGAACTGGCTATGTACATGCAGAGTAGATGCAAAAACTCGCATGCAAACACAGATGTGCCACCATTACACACTTCTTAAAAACAGATCTGACAAAACTCACCACATGTGAAGTCCCCAAATCTATTTTCTCTGAACATTTCCATATTTGTCCATTACCTCTCTTCTCTCTCTCTCTTACTTCTTTCTCTCCCCCAACCACAAGTAAACCAGCCAAATCTGTCTTGCCGCAGATTTAAACCAACACAAAACTCACCCGCACTAAACTCCGTACCCTCATCGCACCAGTTCTTGCCAGGCTCCACTGGCTCCCCATTACCGAATGGATCGATTTCAAGATACTCACACGTGTTGTTAAGACTCCGTCACTGTGAAATGCTCCCAGGATGCTACCACACATTAAGGGTGCTCTATAAATGCAAGCTGTTTTTGTCGTCAAATTCCTTCACGCCCCGGCACCTCCCTAGCTCTCCGACCTGCTTGCTCCCCATTTCACTACCGGTTGTCTCTGCTCGAATGGCTCCAGCCTCTTACTTGTCACTCGTGCCCTTCGTCCACTATCAGGGGCCTTCAGCCATGACTCCCCGAAACTCTGGAATTCTCTCCCTCAATGCTCTGCATTTCCCCTTCCTTCACCATCTGCAGATCATGTTCGAAGACCTTCATCTTCGACCGTGCTTATGGTCACCTCCCCCCAGCTCTGCGTCGTGCTTCGCTACTGTCAAGTGCTCTGAGACGCTACCTTGCTTGAGGGGTGCTGTGTAAATGCAAGGTGGTGGTGTTCCCTGCAACTGTGATCTTTGACCAAACGTTAGCATCCACACAAACTGCCTAGACTTCCACACCGCATAGGGAAAGCCTTTGTTCAAATAGGTTGAAGCCTGATGGCCTCATTTGGCACCAAAATAAAAATCTAGCGAAAGCTGCCTTCAGTCACTGGTCCTGCCTGACAAAGCTCGACAGTTTTGTACTGTATTAGAGCTGTTCTTCACAGAGCATGTACAATACCATGTCAATGTTCCCTTTATGGCAGCTTGTAATGTTCCAAACACACCAAACACACCATAAACTACTCTCTAAACCAGCCGAGCTGGAAATCCATTACTCATTTCTCGTCGAGAGCTGGGTTAGAACATGGTGCTTTCAACACTCTAGATTGAAATCAAACTGGCCTCTTGTGCTGGGTTTACGCTGCTGAACTTGCCAGTGATTCCCAACCAAACCCGCAAAATAAATGAATGCTGCAGCCGCCTCAGGGACACAGCCCCTGGAGAAAGCAACTGGAACCCCCATTCAGCAGAGGATAATAATAATCTTTGCATTTGATATAGTGCCTTATCACATCCTTGAGACATCTCAAAGCGCTTCACAGAATATACTGTAAAGTGAATTGACTGGTTATTTTGTGTGAAACACGGCAGCCAATTGTGCACAGCAGCGTCCCCACTAACAGTCATGGATTAAGTGACCTCATTTTTTGGGGAGGGATTATTATCCACTGAAAAGCGATACGCCAATCGACTAACAATCTACTTCCTGGGCACCCTACTTACTGCTAGGTGAACAGAGGCTTGTGGAGTAAGGAAACTTTCCTATGGTTTCTCACAGCCGGGAATCAAACCTCGCTTGCGAGACGAGTGTTCTAACCACTAGGCTACAGCACTCATTAAACATGGCGGCTATGAAGCCAACCAATTTCATTCCTTCACGGCTTGCCGGAAAGCTTTCGGCCGATCCATTTTGAAAGACCAAACATTAAAGGGCATCTGATCTCAGACTTCAGCCTGGCTCAGTCCGTAGTGCTGCCCACCTCAGAGTCAGAAGATTCTGGGTTTAAGCCCCACATCGGAACTTGGAACTCACATTGCCCAAACTAACACTCCAATACAAGGTGTTGAATTATTGGAGGTGCCATCCTTCAGATTAGACATTAAAGTGAGGCGCTATCTGCCTAACCACTCGCACTGCTGTTTAAAACAAATACCATCAGTGGATGATCAAAAGTTCAAACGTTTACCCATTTGCTGTATTTCAGTGGCCCCGTGAAGCCCATGGCTTCGATCAGCTTGGTGAAGGGGCTCACATCCTCATCGACCGGCTGTGCTGTACCTTTCACATTGCAAAGCTGTCGGAATGAGGAAACAGGAAAATATCAGCAATGCCCACACTTCACTTGCTCTTTTCACAATTGGTGCCGTTTTGAGATTAAGTTACAATTAAAATGCTGCCTGGCTTTAAAACTTTCACTTTGTATTTACTGATTCCGAAATTGTTACAACTACTCATCAAATCTCAACTGTGTGATTTTTTTTTGCCTGCCGGGTGTCTTGTGGAAACTCATCTCCGTGCTTAAGAGTCTCCAAACCAAACTGAGAATTACATGCTACCCACCTACACATGGAAATCGCAGAGATAGATTGTGGGAATGGGATGCCCTGGAGGGACACATCCTGCTTATCTAACTCCGGAAAGGATTAGGCGTAGGTTGGCAAGAACCAAGGCTTGGGGGAGCCCAGAATATATGTTGGGGTAATTGCTGGAGTGAAACCAGCTAAACCTGCATAGCTTGGCCATTGATATCGCTGACTGGCAAGTTTTCCTACTGCTTATCCAGCTCGGACCACCCTACCCGTTAGGGATGCAGGGTTATGCGAGCTGAGTGGGAAGATTCCCTGCCCCCAATGACTGGTCTGCCCTTCCAGGTCCTGCCAATGAGTCAGGCTGGGCTGTGCTGTCATCAGCAGTGCCTACTGCGGACCTGCCTGGCTCAGGAACTGGTCCACTAAGACCACGACAAAAAAATCAAACCCTGGTCCTCTTACTTGTGAGGCGAGCGTTCTAAGCACTTTGCTACCAGACTCCGCATCTACCCTACATTTATTCTCTCTAACACTAGTATCAGAACTCTGATCCCATCTCATCACCATCATACTCTACCTTCAGGGCACCATGAAACGCTCGGCTTGGTTGTGTACGTCTGAGCAAAACCTGCTCTAACCCACCACGCATGACAGGGCCTCGCTGTCTGAATACAAGTGAGCTTGTCATGGCACTTCGCCACATGGCACAAAGCTGAAAGAGAAACACTCTACATTACAACACGCAAAGTCCTGACCATCATGCCACTCACTTGTTACTGTACTCGCTCAGCTCACTAAATAAAGGAACTTGTTATCACTTAAGTGGCAACAAAGGAAACCTGCAGGGTGCTGCAGGGAGGAGAGCTTTCCCAGTATATTATTGATATACACCTGAGGGTGTGTCTCGACCCTCAGGTTTGCTGAGAGTTCAAGCTGGATGGGTGTGAGGAGTCATAATAATAATCCTTGCATTTCATAATAGCGCCTTATTATGTCATTGAGACATCTCAACGCTCTTTAAACAAAAACAAAGTAAACGTATATGAATCGGAATCGTCTTAAGGGCACAATGAAGTGTGTGAACTGAGCTAGGCTTTGAAGTGGAATCCAGACCCAAACTCTAGGAAAAGTTTGGGAAACGTTACACTCGGCTTCTGTTCATTCGGCAACCACAGAGTGGTTTTATCATGTTTCACTTCCATATACAGTTACTACATTTGACAGCAATTCCCTATAATACTTTTAAGACATTTCAGTGTCTTATGAATCTTCGCACGTGCAAAAATAACTCGGATTTGCTTTCATCGAATGGATACACAGTAAAACTGAGCCACTGTGTATTTTGTAGTCATAAATCCTGTAAAGCACTTTGAGACATCTCAACATTGTGATGAGGCTCTATATCAAATGCAAGGATTATTCTTTAAACTGTATTTCTTTCTTTGTTGAAGAAAAAAAACTACTCACGCAGCAAACACAATGTACTAACAATCATGAGATTGCAGTGGAATGACGAGCCCTGCGATTCACTGTAACTGAACTGTATCGATTTCAGACTTTGTGTCCCTGAAAACGTGTACACAATGTGAGAACCCATTCGTTCACTTTGACAGAGGGTCTGGGCTCTCTTGGGGGTGAATTTAGAGATCCAAATAAATCGGTCACTAATTACACCGCTGTTTGTGGGGACGTAGGTCTGCGCAAAATTGCTGCCATGTTGGCCTACAAAATACACAGTCACTACACTTTACACCGAATCCTGTGAAGCTCTTTGAGGCATCGAAGGCAAAAAGTCGGGAACATCACTTTGAAGCCAACTCAACCCCAAGCAGCCCGCACCCCAATCCAGGCACCCCACTCCCTCCCCCGCCCCCCCATAACGCGAGGACAGTCACCTGACCAACGTATTTTTGGGGGGGGGCAGCTGGGTGTCTGACACGTGCGGAAACCCATCACCCGGCTTAAGAATATCCAAACCAAGCTGAGAATTCCATGCATCCCACCTACACGTGGAAATCCCAGTGATTGTTGAAATGGGATGCGCTCCCTCTCTGGAGGGACTTTCCTGCTTACCTAATTCCGGACAGTATGAGGCGCAGGTTGGCAAGAGCCAAGGCTTATGGACCCCAGAGTGTGCGTTGGGGAAACTGCCGGAGTGTAAGCAGCTAAACCACGTAGTTTGCCGTTGAGAGGCAGCGCTGTGTGGCAGCTTTCCCGCCGCTGGTCCAGCGAGGGCCATCCTCCCCGTTAGTGAGGGTGTGGGCTGCAGGGCTACCAGGGGCTGAGGGGGAGGATTCGGCCCCTCCAGGACCTGCTGATGGGCCGGGCCGGGCCGGGCAGTGCCCTGCGACACTGCGGACCCGCCTGCCTCAGGACCCGGACTACAGACCATCACAGAGGCCTGGCCCGAGGCCCACATCCAACGGTGCCAGACATGTCACTTGGGGACAGTTCAGCTCCGAGAAGACTCCGCTTCCTCCCCCCAGGCCGGGGGGGGGGGGGGGGAGAGATCGTTACCGTCTCCTGAACAAACGCAGCCCCCGCCCCCTCTCACCGGAAAGCCTCTGCTCATCCTCAGCCTCAGCGCGGCCTGGAGACCGCCAGCGCCCCGGTACAGCGCTCGGAGGCCGCTCGGGTACATGGCCCACTCCCGCCCTCCCTCCCGGCAGCCGGAAATGCTGCCGCTGAAGTAGCGCTCCGACCCGACCGCCCCGAGCTCGGGATAAACAGTCCGGGCACCAAACGGTCCCCCCCCTCCCAGCCTGTGGCTCCAAGTCATTCACTGGCTCATTCCTCCCTTCGTTTCACTGTACTGTACTCCTCCCACCCCCATTACAGCAAACATCACAATAATTGTTTAATAATCTTTACATTTGATACATGTCGTCCATGCGCTTAAGTTTTTTTTGAACTATAAAGTGTAGTAACTGTGAGATGTGCAGATGTAAAGGAAAACTGGAGGAAAATTTAGACAAAATTCCTAACATTTTATTTGACCCCCAGACTATTGTCGCAATGAAAGTTGATTATTAATTAAAAAATAGTTTTTTTTCCAATTTTTAAATTTTTTAAATGTTCTTTCTGTTCCCCCAATTTATTTATTAATAATAATCCTTGCATTTGATACAGCATCTTTTCACATCTTCAAGACGTCTCACAGAATATACTGTAAAGTGAATTGTATATTTTGTAGGCAAAACACAGCAAAGTTTATTATTGAACTGAAAAAAAACTGCTTCTCTCCTATTAAAATTTATAAAATGCATATATATTTAAATATATTGTGTTTAAGAATTTCTCAAATATTAGAAACCTAAATTCTCAAGTTTTCATTAAAAATAAGTATCAGTTTGTTTACATTTTCACTGAATTTGTATTCTTAACAAAGCAAAAGTCAGAAATACAAAACCTAATCTTCTCTGTCATCAGTCTTGACAGTGACTTTAACAACTAATCAACCATGGGGTGAGCAGAAATGCCTTCGAACGAGTTGAACAGAATGAATGACCTTTGGGACATTCTGTATTTGGATACCCGGAGGGTTGAATTCCTCTTGCCACTACGTGTTGCGATTTTGACGATAAATGTTTACAATAAGATTTTCCCACGAGAAGTATTGCTTGCTCAGAAACTTGAAAGAATCTCAAAAATTGTCAAACTGGAAGATGTGATTAACAAATGTGGTCTGCAAATATTGCATTTTAGACCCCATTTTTATGAATCATATGAGCTTTGATGTACTGCATATGAGTCAGTACTCCACAGCTGACACGTTAATGACCCATCCAAAGGATACCCAGCACTCCCTGGAAGATCAGCCTAGACTTTGAACTCAAGTTCCGATGTGGAGCTTGAACCCACAATTTAGGAAGGAGGCCATTCAACCCCTCGAGCCTGTTCCACCATTCTATTAGATCATGTCTGATCTGAACCTCAACACCAACCCAATTTGCAACTGTGGCATCCTGTCTGTGAGACATTAAACCACGGTTCTATCGGCTGCTGCTTCTTCTGGTGAAAGTTAAAGAAGGTACAATGCTACAAGACCAGACGCTGTAAGACCCCATCACCCCAGTCCTTGCCAGACTCCACTGGCTCTCAATCATCAAACGGATCGACTTCAAGATCCTCTCGCTCATTTTCAAATCATTTAATTGCCTCGCACCTCCCTACCTATCCGACCTGCTTACCCCCAGCTCCACCACCCGCTACCTCTGCTCGGTTGGCTCTGGCCTTCTATTTGTCTCTCGTGCCCTCCGTTATGCCATTGGTGGCTGTGCCTTCAGTCACTAAGCACCCAAACTCTGGAACTCTCATCCTCAATCTCTCTGCCTTGCCCCCTCCCTCCCCACTTTCAAATCTTGCCTAAAGATCTTCATTTTTGATCATGCTTATGGTCACCTCCCCATTCCCTCTCCCCTGGATTGTTGTCAGACTTCACCACTGTGAAGTGCTCCGGGACCCTACCCCGTGTGAAGGGCGCTGTATAAATGCAAATTGTTGTTGTAGTAAGAGAATAGTCTCTCCCGGTGTCCTACACTCCCATATAAGTGTATTTGTTGGCAGCCAGTGTGCACACAGTGAGCTTCACATAAAACAGCCATGAAGCGAGTAGTTCCTGAGGTTGGTGAGGTCCAGTCACCAAAAAACATGGTCTTCAACCAACTCCGCAATTCAACCAGCTTTTGGCCTATTTGGCTGATATCTTACCTCCACCGTTCTGTCAGCAGCTGGGCTGTGCTGGCCTGATCTCACACATGTGAAAGATCCATAACCTCATAAACACCACACATGGAAATGAGTTACGAGGTGTTTCTCAAGAGTGAAAATAGGCGAGTAATGCACAGCTACCTGCCATGCTTTACTGTATGTGCACGCGAAAAACCATTGAAATGATGGAACGCATTAATAACTTTAATTAGCTGCTACGCTCTTCTATCTAAAGCTCGCTTCATGCCTCATTGATTAACTGGCATTTATTAACCCTCATCAATTATCCTCCTCATCAAATGTTCTTCGGATGAGACATTAAGCCGCGGTCTCATCTGCCTGTTCAGGTGGACATTAAAGAGCGCAAGATCAAAGAGGAGGGAGTTTTTCTCTCTCCTAGTGTCTTGACTGACAATCCCCCAAATAAAATCGTTTCACTCACTCCATGGCTGTTTGTGGGATATTGCTGTGCACAATACAGTCACGTTTCACAGGATACACTTTACACTGGCGTGATCAAACACTGTGTCAAATGCAAAGATTATTATTATTATTATTATTATTATAAGAAAACAAGCAGGACCTGGAGTGAGTTTGAGTGTGTTTTGGGGGCAATCTGAGCATCCTGTCTGTTGTGGGGACGTGTTGACAGCCTGGCTTTGGGAGGTTGTGCCCCACAGCAGCTCGTTCATCCAGCGACCGGCTTCACGTCACTGAGGCAGCTGAGCAGACTCGCTCAGTGGATTGAGTTTCAGAAACTAAATCTTTCGTCAGTCCCTTGTTTTAGTAGCGACTGACCTCTCTCCTACATCACATGAACGATGCAGGGTCTCACTCGGTGATTTACTGCAGGGTCCCGGGGACAATTTACACAAGGTTGTGAACTCTCTCGTTTGCCCTCTCTTTCTCTCTCTTCTCGTGGACTCAGCCTTTCTTTCAATACATCAGCTCTTCTCTCTCTCGCTCTCTCTCTATATTCACCTCTCGACTTCTTACTGTGTCTATCTCTATCTCACACTACCTCTCTCTCACACGGTCTCTGTGTCTCACTCTTTATGCTCGTCTCTCTCCCTTACAAACACTCTCTCTGTCTCTCTCTTTCACTCACACGTACTCTCTCACGTACTCTCTCTCCCTGTCACACTATCTGGGTCTCTCACTCTCTCTGCTGGTCTCTCTTACTCAGTTTCCCTCTCACGCATATTCTCCCTCTCTCTCTCACTGGCAGCTGTAACATCACTGTATTAACAAATTACAACAGACTTTCCCTTTTAGGCCCTAACTCTGAGTTACCATGGTTACCCCCCCCAAAAAAAATGGCGAAGTTTAAGGTAATATTTTACGATGGGCCATAAACTAACGTGTCCCGAGTGGCTTACCCCCAGAGAGCCAGCAAAACATTTGTTGAAAGCTTTTAACAGGCGAAATCTGACACTTACCTCAGCCAGTTACTTAACCCTGTCATTTTCCAGGCGAGTGGAGCACGCTGTGTGAGGCCGGCCGGTCAGTTGGTCAGTGGTGAATGAAGTGACTTAGTCCGTTCACTCCCATCCAGAGAGAAAAACAATGTGCTTTGCATGGAGTCCTGTAGAGTAATGGTTAGAACACTCGCCTCGCAAGAGAGGACTCGGGTTCGATTCTCAGTCAGGGCGAAACCTTCGGCAAGTTTCCTTACTCCACACGCCTCGTTTACCAAGCAGTAAATAGGAGCCCGGTTTATTAGGCGATTGGCGGATCACTAATTGGGAGTAATAATCCCTCAAGATAATAAGAAAGGTCACTCAATCCACAGCTGTTTGTGGGACGCTGCTGTGCGCAACCACGTTTCACCTCAAAATAGGACAAATTGATTTTACAGTAAATCCTGTGAAGCGCTTTGAGACGTTTTACCAAGGTGATGAGGCACTATGTCAAATGCAAGAATTATTATTATTATTCCTACATCCAAACATCTCAGAGTGCTTCACAATAATTACTGGCGAGTATAACTTGCCTGAACATCTTATCCGAAGTACAGCGCCTCTCACAATGCAACGATACCCCCAGCTCTGGGCTGGAGAGTCAGCTTGGACTGTGAGATCAAAGTTCCCAATGTGTGGGGGGTGGAGGGGTAGGGGGGGAGGGAATGAGACTCAAACCCATAACCTCTTGATCACACGTCACTATTAAAAAAAGGGAGTTTCTCTCTCCTGGTGTTCTGGCTAACAATATAGCGCTTAATATAGCGCTTTATCGTGTTTTCTAGGTGTCTCAAAATGATCCACCAATCAACAAACAACCAGGTTCTTACTTACTGCTAGGTAAACAGAGGCGTGTGGAGTAAGGAAACTTGCCTAAAGTTTTGCTCTGCCAGGAATCAAATCCAGGTCCTTTCACATGCGAGGTGAGTGCTCTAACTATTAAGCTACAATCCACCAAATAAAAAAATTGGTCACTCACTCCACAGCTGTTTGTGGACACTGCTGGACACAAACTGGCTGCTGAATTTGGCCCACAACATATACAAGTCGCTCCATTTTACAGTGTATCCTGTGAAGCGCTTTGAAACGTCTTGACGACATAAGGCGCTGTATCAAATGCAAGTATTATTATTTGTATTATTACCAGCACAATATAGCCTCCTCTGCAGAAGGTAATGGCCCGCATGATGGCTGTATTTTTCTACCCTAAATTGGACCATGATAAGCGCAGACTTAGCCTTGCGATTGCAACGGTGCAGAAATGCAACCCCCCTGAAACGCACAGAGGGCAGCGCCAGCACTGAAAGATTCACTTAGCAAATAGCCTGTAGCGCACACACACACTCAATTAAAGGCACGCGGCACTGCCAAAACTCTCGTTATTTCAAGACTGTTTTTCTCAAAATTGGAAAATCCAAGAATAATAACCTCAGAAATTAAAATCAGTTGCACAAAAAAAATTTACTTCTTTC